ATTAATTTTGTAGAAACGATTTAGAAAACCGCCATGTTAATAGATAAAATACTAGTGCAACATTCGGGTATCTTGATTCTAGAAACGTTTCGCTTGCCAGTGGCTTCTTCAGTCCAATACAAATAAGAATGGTGTAGGTTAAGGAGTAGTTTGAGGTAACCAGTTCCTCAGCCTAGTGCGGCCCTTATCACTTATTTGACAATCTAATGTTCCCATTTTTACACAAGGTTTGGGGACCACTTGTTGTAAACAAAGAGATACGGAATTCTGAGGATGCCCCGAGCACGTAATAACTTATCATTATAAGATACACTTGGTGTGGTTACTCTGATTATATGACACGGGTGGATGAACATTATAAAATAAAAGGACGACGCATGAAAAGTTAACAATTTCAGCAAATGTGACAAGCCAAAGCAAAAACAATGGCGTACCGTATGGCCACGACAACCCTCCAGCCTTGGTTGCTCGACCTCCAGTGGCGCCATGCCAAGATCCAGTCCTCCCTCCTACATTTTACACTGTCACCGCCCTCCATTAACTTCCCCCAACACATGTTACTTCTCGAAATAGATTGTGTTAGTGTTTGAGATAAGCGTAACCAGGTTTGATGCAAGTGAAACTATTATTACTACCAGGAAGGAATCTCTGGTTACATCCCATACACTGACATTACTGTCAGGCCCAGCGCCTTATTACAGTCACCATCAGCTCGCCATGTTACCTAAATTATTATTATTATTATAATCAAAAAGAAGCGCTAAGCCACAAGGACTATACAGCCATGTTACCTAAAGATTCAAATATAACGGCACATAGCTAATATGCATATTGAAGTTCTTTTCTTACTGTCTGGAAACTCTAAATAAGTAGCCATTATACTTTTACTAATTCTCGGACAAAATAAACTATAATATATATAAAAACGTTATCAATGGAGGCAAAGAAGGGAATGTATGAAAGTATAGTGGTACCAACACTCTTATATCTGTAGGGAAAGGAAGGCGCGGTAGGGGTCGTCCTCGAAAAGGTTGGAGGGAGGGGGTAAAGGAGATTTTGTGGGCGAGGGACTTGGACCTCCAGCAAGCGTGCGTGAGCGTGTTAGATAGGAGTGAATGGAGATGAATGGTATTTGGGACCTGACGAGCTGTTGGAGTGTGAGCAGGGTAATATTTAGTGAAGGGATTCAGGGAAACCGGTTATTTTTATATAGCCGGACTTAGAGTTCTGGAAATGAGAAGTACAATGCAGAGGAGAGGTTTGTTCCCAAGGGAAACAGAAATAATGGGAAGAACAGAATGAGTCCTTGGTTCACCCAAAGGTGTAGGGAGGCAAAAACTAGGTGTACTAGAGAATGGAAAAGGTACAGAAGACAGAGAACTCAGGAAAATAAAGAGATTAGCCGAAGAGCCAGAAACGAATATGCACAGATAAGAAGGGAGGCTCAGCGGCAATACGAAAATGATATAGCATGAAAGTCAAGACTGACCTGAAGCTGTTGACAGGCCATGGAGGAACAACGGTCAAGGACAGTAATCAGATGAGGAAGGGGATGGGGATTCACAAGGAACGACCAGGAGTTTGTCAGACTCAACACAAGATTTAAGAAGTTTACAGTGGAAACCAGTAGACTCCAGTGAAATCAGAAGGAGGGTTGTCCACAAGTGCTGATGAGGTACAATAACCAAGGAGGAATGAATGAAGTCCTATGCGACTTGACACCTCAAAGGTGCGGTGGACCAACATCTACTCGTGGGTGCTTAAAGAAGGAGCAGAGAACATGTGTGTACCATTAACGAAGATTTCAAACATCATGAAACGGCAATCCCTGAGTATGAAGATGGAATGCTAGTCCCAATTTAAAGGAGATAGACATGAGCATCAAATCAGACCTGACATTAAGTGTATAGTAAGCAAGTCATGGAGAAATCACAGGAGGACAGGTGGTGAGCACTGAAAGACAAGTGTATTGACAACCAGCTGTTCAGGGGGAAATCTGTCACAAAAACCATTGAGGTTTTATGACAGAGTGAACAGAAGATAAGAAAGTATACAGGAAAATCGTATGACACGATGAAACAGACAACCCGGGGATTGAACCGCAGTCATGAGGTCAAACTTAACCAGCCGTCGCGTGTAGCATAGACCAGCTAGCCACAATAGATCACTCCAACGTAGGGATCAACATCTCTCTGACCATTAAAAGGTTGAGCAAGGCACCTTGTGACCATAAGCAAGATTTTAACAACGATTCTCCAGCAACGGGCGTGACGAACTCACCTGAGTCTTCACTGCGAACATGGCTAAGAATGTAAGTGACACGCATTGTCATAAAACCAACCCGCCGGATGAACGGTCATAGAGGTCCAAAACTACCAGCCGTCGGTTACACTAACCTAGCTAGCCACAAAGGATTCATGCAGACTAGGTATATTTTACACCTGAAAGTAACAGCAGTGTTATGGCAACGCGACGGCTGGAGTTTCGGAGACTGTCACAGACCATTGGTTTTCATCCCGGCCGGGTGATGAGTAAGACAAGAGAGAGAGGGGTGGATCGACTGCATTTTTTTGGACTGCAAGAAGGCCTTCGACACAGTTCCTCACAAGAGGTTACTGCAAAAGCTAGAGGATCAGGCACACATAACAGGAAAGGCACTGCAATGGATAAGAGAATACCTTACAGGGAGGCAACAACGAGTCATGGTACGTGATGAGGTGTCAAAGTGGGCGCCTGTGACAAGCGGGGTTCCACAGGGGTCAGTCCTAGGACCTGTGCTGTTCTTGGTATATGTGAATGACATAACGGAAGGGATAGACTCAGAAGTGTCCTTTGTTTGCGGACGATGTGAAGTTAATGAGAAGAATCAAATCGGATGAGGATCAGGCAGGACTACAAAGAGACCTGGACAGGCTACAAGCCTGGTCCAGCAACTGGCTCCTTGAGTTTAACCCGCCAAATGCAAAGTCATGAAGATTGGGGAAGGGCAAAGAAGACCGCAGACACAATATAGTTTAGATGGCCAAAGTCTGCAAACCTCACTCAAGGAAAAAGATCTGGGGGTGAGTATAACACCGAGCATATCTCCTGAGGCGCACATCAATCAGATAACTGCTGCAGCATACGGGCGCCTGGCAAACCTACGGATAGCGTTCCGATACCTCATTAAGGATTCGTTCAAGACTCTGTATACCATTTACGTCAGGCCCATACTGGAGTATGCAGCACCAGTTTGGAATCCACACCTAGTCAAGCACGTCAAGAAATTAGAGAAAGTGCAAAGGTTTGCAACAAGACTAGTCCCAGAGCTACGGGGATTGTCCTACGAAGAAAGGTTGAGGGAAATCGGCCTGACGACACTGGAGGCCAGGAGGGTCAGGGGAGACATGATAACGACATATAAAATACTGCGCGGAATAGACGAGGTGGACAAAGACGGGATGTTCCAGAGATGGGACACAGACACAAGAGATCACAATTGGAAGTTGAAGACTCAGATGAATCAAAGGGATGTTAGGAAGTATTTCTTCAGTCATAGAGTAGTCAAGCCGTGGAATAGCCTAGAAAGTGAAGTAGTGGAGGCGGGAACCATACATAGTTTTAAGGCGAGGTATGATAAAGCTCATGGAGCAGGGAGAGAGAGGACCTAGTAGCAATCAGTGAAGAGGCGGGGGCAGGAGCTATGACTCGACCCCTGCAACCACAAACAGGTGAGTACCAGTAAGCTCACCATATGCCCACCCCTCAAGGAAGGTTCCTTGATGTTGGTGAGGGGCTCTTGATTTAGGGTATTGGATCTGTGCTCCAGTTCCCCGAATTAAGCCTGAATGCCTTCCACATCCCCCCAGGCGCTGTATAATCCTCCGGGTTTAGCGCTTCCCCTTGATTATAATTAATAAACCATATGCCCATCTGGAGTTTACCTGGAGAGAGTTCCGGGGGTCAACGCCCCCGCGGCCCGGTCTGTGACCAGGCCTCCTGGTGGATCAGAGCCTGATCAACCAAGCTGTTACTGCTGGCTGCACGCAATCCAACGTATGAGCCACAGCCCGGCTGGTCAGGTACCGACTTTAGGTGCTTGTCCAGTGCCTGTCTGAAGACAGCCAGGGGTCTATTGGTAATCCCCCTTATGAATGCTGGGAGGCAGTTGAACAGTCTCGGGCCTCTGACACTTATTGTATTGTCTAACGAGCTAGTGACACCCCTGCTTTTCCATCAGCTATATAACCTTCAAACGTTAATAACATGTGAAGGTTATGTACCATAACATGTTATAATACTTTTATAATGTATAATATTCAGTGGGAAGTGTTAAATTTATAAACCACCTGAGGAATGGGAGGTATTCAGGTTTAATACAAGGAAAACTGGGTTGCTCAATTTTTTTGGATCAAGAGCCTTCACGGGCGTCAGGTCCCCTTCCATCCTGCTGAAGAACAGGTATGTTCCATAATGGGTCGTTAACAGTGCCCTGACCATCTTATTGCAACAGGACACCCTGCCTAGTTTAACCTTCAACGTTAATAACAGTGAAGGTTAATGTACCATAAAGTATAATATTGGTTAAGTATAAATAGGTGGGTAGGTAAATAAGACTGGGGAAGGAGGTTTCAGGTTTTAATAAAGGAACATGGGTTGCTCATTTGGGGCTCCATTGAGACCCTTCACGGGCGTCACCCCTCCTACCTCAAGGAGAACGTAGGTCCATCAATGTCTTCAACAAGTGAACTGTCCACTAGACATACCACTGCCTAGTGTGTACCATATCAACTAAGCCAGGCCTCGGTCCATGACCAAACTACCACTTCGCGCTGATGGCGAAAGGTGGTGGAAGACGTGGGCGATCATGTATGGTTGAATAAAAGACATGGTGCTGCCTGAGCCATTGACTACACCCGTCGCTCACAACCATAACACTAACCGTCCACCGTCCAATACACCAACCACGCTCGCTTTCAACATATCAAATATCACAACACTAACCACGCTCGCTCCTGATCCAATATCACTAACCACGCTCGCTCCTGATCCAATATCCACTAACCACGCTCGCTCCTGATCCAATACCACTAACCACGCTCGCTCCTGATCCAATATCACTAACCACGCTCGCTCCTAATCCAATATCACAAGCACTAACCACGCTCGCTCCTGATCCAATATCACTAACCACGCTCGCTCCTGATCCAATATCACTAACCACGCTCGCTCCTGATCCAATATCACAAGCACTAACCACGCTCGCTCCTGATCCAATATCACAAGCACTAACCAGGCTCGTTCCTGATCCAATATCACCAACACTCAGTATCACCTTCCACCTTTGTCTTAACTGCCCACTGCGGCCTGCCGCCACCTGACTTGAACAGAAAACAATATCGCATCATTCTTTGAAGCAAAATATTTTTTTGTAGTGTGGGAATATTAAATTAAATCTTGTTTATTACAAAAGTATATAATGAAGTTTAGCGTAATAATAGTGGTATACTGGGTGGTAGGTGTGCAGGACGCATCACAAGGGTTATTGGTAGTGGAGAGGAAGGGGTGGGGTGGTCGGGTGCCATGGTCGGAGCTAGAGCGGTGGTCAGGTGGTCGTGGTGGGCGTGCGTCAGTGTGTGGAACACCATGCGTGTGTGTGGTGCAGAGTGATGGCCAACTACTGGTGGACTGCTCTATGGCACAGACCAGCGCAGACGTGGCGAGTAGCTTTACTAGCCCTCCTCCGATGTTGGCTGACTACAAGAATGCCACGGTGCGCCTCGTTCTCATGAGCTCCGAACTGCTCGGCCTCGACGACCACTCCTTCAACAACCTGAGTTTTACGCATATCCATGTCAAGTACAACCATGCGCTGGCCCGCCTGGCGGAGAAGGCCTTCTGGTCTTCCCGTGCCACCCTTCGTGTGTTAGATTTGCGAAACAACAACATCACTATGTTCCCGCTAATTAACCTCAAAGTGTTCCAGCAGTTACAGTTTATCTCCCTGGATGACAATGGGTTGAGTGAAGTGCCAGCGGGGGTCTCCGAGCTGCCCGCCGTCCTCCACCTCAGCATCTCCAACAACCGTCTCCACACCCTCCACCAGTTCGCCCTCACTTCCCTACCTTCCCTTCAGTTCCTTGACCTCCATTCAAACCGCCTGGAATATCTACCCCCACAACTGGCCCTCCTGTCTGCATTACGCTCCCTCATGTTATGGGGAAACCCTATTACCACCCTGCCACAAGGTAACATACAATGTAGAACTGCCACAGTGTAACAGTTGTGACACTCCAATGTCGGCTCCCTAGGTTCAAAAACTTTTTAGAAATCTAAATAGATGGGAGCAGCCTATCCAGTTCTTTCTTGAATAATTTTTGTGACTATAATAGCTTAGGAGATCTGATACTTTATACAATAAATTACCGAAGGAAACCTAATCAATAGCCTAGTTAGTCTTGATATGAAAGTACTTTATTCACTTCTAAATTTTTTTCTCCCGTATTTTCACAACACTGCTTGTCAAGTGAACCTTAAACAGATGAAATCCGAAAGTCTCTAAAGAAAGGCAATATCTGTACAACACTCAGGAAGCAGTAGAGCAATTAATAAAAATACAGACCAGGGGCCAAGTAGCAATAACAAATATAAAAAAATCTTTGGAAGGGTGCCAAGAAGGCAAATTACCAGTATTATGAAAAGCCATAACGACATTATTATTTTAGAACACGAAGGGAAAGTCAAATTAACAAATATAACAGGAACGATAGGGGTAACGTATGTCCAAATGTCAAACATTACAATGTAGCAGTAAAGCAAGCAGAATGAAGTTGTAGTAAATTATAAAGATCAGTACTGCAAGGCACAGCCCTGGCACCTATGCTGCTTGTCATCCTCATTCCACACACTGACATGTAAATATACTAACCACAGTTCAGTATCGGTCTTTGCAGATACCAACAGTCTTCCTGTGATCAGAGGGTATTAACAGTCTTCTTGTGGTCAGATAAAAATGCTATTTTACCTGTGATTATGATTTACCTGTGACCGGTTTCGAGGATTTTTCTGCCCTTGCAGCCCGGTCTTTGGCTAGGATTGCTTGTTGACTGCATGTTCAACCAGACTGTTACTGTTAGTGACCCGCTGACCCACATGTTCAACATTATAAATCCCAACTGTTTAGATCTGGAAAAATATGATCTAAAAGCAAGTACATAAAACACAGACCCTCCCACAGCATAAAAGACCTAATTAGAATAATGTGAGATGACCTGTCGTTTGGAGGAGTACACATTAAAGCAAACTCGTGCAATGCCAGGAAAATGGCAAAGAAATTACGCCGATGATGAGACTTCAAATCACGTGGGGTCTAGCTTTTAAAGCAATGTTCAATGCTCATGTCTTTCATGGAAGGAGAGATTATTTTCTGCCGGAGTCACCAAAACATCTAAACTACAAGGAATATTTCAAAGCATTTAAAATGTGTTCTCTGAAATTGACAATATACACTCGGCAAATATACTGTCATAACAATGTAATGCAGTAAGAGATATGGGAGAATATGTAGACTAAACTCAACGATGAGCACCTGTGCCAACCTGGAGGTTATTCCGGAGATCAACGCCCCCGCGGCCCGGTCCGTGACCCGGCCTCCCGGTGGATCAGGGCCTGATCATCCAGGCTGTTACTGCTGGCCTGCACGCAGTCCAACATATGAACCACAGCCCGGCTGATCCGGCACTGACTTTAGCTATCTGTTCAGCTCTCTCTTGAGGGCAGCCAGGGGTTTATTGGTAATTCCCCTTATGCTTGGTGGGAGGCTGTTGAACAGTCTTGGGCCCCAGACACTTATGGTGTTTTCTCTTAGTGTACCAATGGCGCCCCTACTTTTAATTGGGGTATTTTGCATCGCCTGCCCAGTCTTTTACTTTCGTAGGGGGTGATTTCTGTGTGCAGATTCAGGACCATTCCTTCCAGGATTTTCCAAGTGTAGATTATGATATATCTCTCTCTCATGTGTTCCAACGAGTACAGGTCAAGTGCTTCCAAGTGTTCCCAGTAGTTAAGTTGCTTGACAGGACTTATACGTCCAGTAAAGGTTCTCTGTACTCTCTCTAGATCTACAATTTCACTTGCTTTGAATGGAGATGTTAATGTACAGCAGTATTCCAGCCTAGAGAGAACAAGTGATTTGAAAAGGATCATCATTGGCTTGGCATCCCTCGTTTTGAGCGTTCTCATTATCCATCCTATCATTTTCTTTGCACTTGTGATTGTGGCACTGTTGTGATCCTTGAAAGTGAGATCCTCAGACATTACTACTCCCAGGTCCCTTACATTATTTTTCCACTCTATTGTATGGCCAGAGTTTGTAGTATACTCTGTTCTAGTTATTATCCCCTCCAGTTTTCCATAACAGAGTAGATGGAATTTGTCATCATTGAACATATTGTTTTCCGTTGCCCACTGGAAAACTTTGTTTATATTTGTGCCAAGGGCACAAATTGAGAACACTGTTGACATCAGTACAACTCTCTTCAACTTTCATCAGCAGATATAAAAGAAATATGTCAGATTAAAGATAAAGGTTTCCAGGAGGAAACTGGATCACCTCCTGCAACAAGTGAGATATCAGTCGTGTTGTGATGACTATGGAAACCAGCAACCATTAAGAGCAACAACCTGGTTGATCAAGCAGTCAACAAGAAGTCTGGCTTTTGGCTGAACTTTAAGACTAAGAAATCTGGAAACCGGTGACAGGTACATATGTCACCTTTGAATACACTGTCTGCCATTTTTCATCAGTTTACTCTTGAAGCAAAATCCAAAAGGTTTTCCAAAGATAACTGATTTCATCTGCCCTATCTTCTAAGACCCATCTTATCAGATCCTATTAGGTACGTGCCCTTCCTTGATTCTGGCAAGGGGCTCTTGAGCCAAGGAACTGCAATTGTCCTCCTTTTCCTTGGATTGAGGCTGGTTACCTCTCATTCCCCAGATGTTGGATGGCCCTTACAGCTTTAGCATTTCCCTTAAATATATGTACTGTAATTACCTAGTTGTGTTTGTAAGGGCTGAATGCTTGCTCTACTGCATTTAACTCATATTAACTGACTTTACTGATTCTTGGCCTCCAGGGCCCAATCATAACTGCTCTTGAAACTGTGTATGACACTTAGTCTAAATTAAAATCTTTGCAGTTCGCTTCTCTCCCCCTTCTGCCATTATTCCCAGTTCTTCTATACGAGTCTCTCAACCTTCTTTTCAAATAAATGCATATCTCCTAGTCATCCTTTGTCAGCTCCCTCTTTGTTTACTTCCTGGTCCTTTACAGTCATTCTCCATATCTGAGTGTGCATCAGCTTAGGATATGATTTAACCAGTGCTATATCTTTTCTATTTCTTTCTTATCCTTGTATATTATTATTATAATAGTCATGGTCAAATAATGACTAAGGGAATGGAAGCCATTCTGACTCGATTCAAGAATTTGGATTACAGGCTCAACATCTTAGATCAAGAGTCCCTTACTAGAATCAAGGTAACTCCTTTGAGGGTTATCCTTGTATAGTCGTTCCTGGAATTACTGCTTAGTTGCCTGTTTGTTGCCATTTTTTTCTGTGTTTTCCATGTATTGTTACTCTTTAGCTTTTGTTCAATGCACTTCTCTGTAAATTATGGACCCTTTTCTTTGTATTCCCTTTATTTATAGCTAGTGCAACTTTATGTAACTGCCTCATATACCTCGAGTAATTTCGCCATTATCTTGTGTACTGCCTTGCGTTCCACTTCTCAGTCCCACTAAACTTCATTTAGAAGCACTAATTCCAGCATAATTACCTCTTTTATGGAATGGTTTTCTTTTAACTCTCTGCTCACGTTTCTCTCCATCCACACCTTGGTAGTCAAAACTTCGACCATGTCGTCATTGGCTTTTAAACGGTCCTCAATAAATTTCAGCTATGTCTACTTCACTTGGGGAAAGAGCAAGTCCAGTCCTGCTGGTTCATTCTTCCCTCGTATACGTGTGGTTTCTAACATGTTGGCTCATGAAGTTTCCCCATCAATGCTTCCATTAGTTCATCTCCCTACATTTCTGGTCCTTCATGTGGTTCCCAGTTCTCCCAGTCACGATCATGATTAAAGCCTACATAAAACAGTAATTTTGTTTCTGTTCTATTCACTTTGCGCTGCATTTTCTAGGATTTATATTACTGCTAAGTGTTTCTTGTATTCTGCTTTGGCCATCCTGTTTTCTTTGGGTTTTACATAATTACTATTATCACCTTGCTCACTCTTTTTTTCTCTCTCTGTTCCTGCCATGTAGTCACTGAAGTCTCCACTACACAAGTCATTCACCTCTTCAAATCAATACAGTGTTAATATTAATTTACTGCCAAAAGCAATCTCTAAAGTAGGGAAGGGTTTATTGACTCAAGTTCCTAAACCCCCCCATTTCCCACTGAATTATCATCTTACTGTTGGCATGGTTTTCGTGAAATATAACCTTTGACAACAGCAAAGGATTGCATACAGCAATAGTACAATACACTAAAATGCAATAGCTGTAGAAAAATAAACATGGGAATGAAGCAGTGAAAATACATGAAATACCATATATTAAATCAGTGCTCTCACTAATGAAAACATTGCTACTTTAACAACGTACCCTGACAGAAAATTTCTTTTATTGAAAGGGTCTTTCCATGGGTTGAGAAGTCTGGAGTATGTTGATCTGAGTTACACGAATGTAATAGAGGTGGGCATAAGCAGCATGGAAACACCCACCTCAGCCCCATGGTTCCTCAGCTTCCGTCACACCCCTATTACTAAGCTTAGTGAGACAGCTTTTCATAATGGTAAGTGTCTACAATTATAATTATGTATAACATAAATCCTTACTTATCTTAATGCTGATTAAATCAGTTACATTGCCAGAGTACAGACTTGAAATCAAGGTAGAAAGCACACATACTGACCTTCAAGATGTCATATTCATTCAAATTATATGATATAGATTTTCTAAATTATATGGTAGTTTTTTTTTCCCAACACGTTGGTCGTCTCCCACCTAGGCAGGTGACCCAAAAAGAAAGAAAATCCCCACAAAGAAAATACTTTGATCATCATTCAACACTCATCTCACTCATACATAATCACTGTCTTTGCAGAGGTGCTCAGATATGACAGTTCAGAAGTCCCTCCAAACTGCTAATATCCCAAACCCCTCCTTTAAAGTGCAGATATTTCCCATTTCCAGGACTCAAGTCCGGCTAACTGGTTTCCCTGAATCCCTTCACAAAATATTACCCTGCTCACATTCCAACAGCTCGTCAGGTTTCTCCTGTTGAAATACAAGTGTCCTCCGTTTCACTTTCATACACTGTAAGCGATTACCTATTTGCAGTTATAGAAGCAGAATTGTGCTCTTGGTTACATTTTGAATGTTCCAGTAGTTGTAGCACACATCCTTTTCTTGAATCCCATTTCAAGGCTTCCACTCAGTAAGAAGAAATATTTTCTAGTGGCTATTTTCTTACTACTTTTTTGTAATGTAATTTGAAATTGTGTCCTTCTCTATGCTAATAGTATCAAAAAATCTCCATCTGTTTTCTTTTATTTACTGTATCATACATATGGTAATTGCATCTTTCCTGTCTACCAACAAGGGCATTATATTGTCTTTAGTCTTTCTTTGTAATAACTGCATAATTGCTGTTATACTGTATATTTCAGTTTTGGTCTATTGTATATTGTTAAGCTTTTTATAATTTTTACCATCCATATGCCTGTGAAATTTATCTTGAAATATGGAAAGAGTGCCAAAGTGTGTATGTGGCACTGCTGATAACCTATTGTTATATTTACACCTATATTTTTTCTATCTCAGTTTTTTTTTATGATTTTATCACATAATATTTAATCTTGAAGTGGGAAGTAATACACTAGCCTCACTCTGCTGGCCCCTTGGGTCTGAGAGGCAGCATGTTCTCGCTGTTGAACCAACATTAAAAGAATACAAGCCACAAATCAGTCCCCTATAGGACTGGCAGGTAGAGGAAAACACAACTGGCTATGTCATTTTGCATATTAGGAGCAATCATATAGCCATTACACAAATAACCCTGCACATAGGAGAGAAGCTCATGATGTTTTCGTCTGACTTGGACTTGTAAATGGTCCAAGTCGGACCGAAACGTCATCATAAGCTTCTCTCTCCTATGTTTGGGCATTTGTGTATTGTTCCAGTCACGGTATTGTGTCTTTTGTTCTTTAATCATGTAAACATCGTAAGTGCAGCACAGCTAGTAGTAAGCTGATGGTCCAGCCTAGCGGATTGTTCAGACTACTACTGGCTCTGAGTCAAAAATCAAGGGAGAAAATAGGAGCCATACCGGAAGGCATACCGAGCTAAGAAGTGCAATGTAGTCTTACTGCTACCATTATAGATTAGCTGTGTTTACAGTGAATAAATAGGACCCCACTTACAAAAAAAAAAAAAAAATCATTACATGGTGGGTTGTATGCATACAACCCACCAGTTAATAGTTACGAGCTCTTTAATATTTATTTAGAATGTCTATCACTATTTTAAAAAACTTGTACAGAAGAACCTCACTTATACAGCAGGTTAGGTTCCAGGCTACTTCTGTAAAGTGAAAAATCACTAACATGCAACAGCCTGATAACATGTTTACACTATCATATATTAAGTGAGCAGTAAGGCTAGGCCTAAAAATGCATATACAGTACACACATTACTTACCTTAAAATATTTTCATCCTTAACTTATAGTGAGTGGTAAATACATTTATTGTAGGAAGTCTGAATAAATGAAGAATGGGTATAATCGAAAACTGTTTCATTTGCGAAATGCTGTAAAGCAGGGCCCTCCTGTATAGTGGACAATTATAATCTGCACGGGTTACGTTCCTAAAAACTGTGCTACTAATGATTTCCGTGACTTACGAACCTAAAAAATATGAGAAAAATAGGTGTGTTCTTCACCTAATATCCCCAGCAATTTACTGTAGTACAAGTTGAAAGTTGTTAGGGTCAACAGTGTAAAAAGGATTTCAAAGATCAATAATCAGTCCAAGTGACAGTATTTATTATCAAGACAATGTCTGACTTCTTATTAAGCCACTTAGGAGTCTGTGGAGACAAAGAACTTTGTCCTTGGAGGCAAAGAGGGGAATGTATGAGAGTATAGTTTTACCAACGCTCTTATATGGGTGTGAAGCGTGGGTGATGAATGTTGCAGCGAGGAGAAGGCTGGAGGCAGTGGAGATGTCATGTCTGAGGGCAATGTGTGGTGTGAATATAATGCAGAGAATTCGTAGTTTGGAAGTTAGGAGGAGGTGCGGGATTACCAAAACTGTTGTCCAGAGGGCTGAGGAAGGGTTGTTGAGGTGGTTCGGACATGTAGAGAGAATGGAGCGAAACAGAATGACTTCAAGAGTGTATCAGTCTGTAGTGGAAGGAAGGCGGGGGTAGGGGTCGGCCTAGGAAGGGTTGGAGGGAGGGGGTAAAGGAGGTTTTGTGTGCGAGGGGCTTGGACTTCCAGCAGGCATGCGTGAGCGTGTTTGATAGGAGTGAATGGAGACAAATGGTTTTTAATACTTGACGTGCTGTTGGAGTGTGAGCAAAGTAACATTTATGAAGGGATTCAGGGAAACCGGCAGGCCGGACTTGAGTCCTGGAGATGGGAAGTACAGTGCCTGCACTCTGAAGGATGGGTGTTAATGTTGCAGTTTAAAAACTGTAGTGTAAAGCACCCTTCTGGCAAGACAGTGATGGAGTGAATGATGGTGAAAGTTTTTCTTTTTCGGGCCACCCTGCCTTGGTGGGAATCGGCCGGTGTGATAATAATATTGTGCTTTTTTTTTCTTTTGGACTGAATCCAAATTTCCGGAGATTTAGAATGTTGTGCTTCAACTTGACAAAACATATTAACTTCAGTACTTTATTTTATAAAATATTTTTAACAGCATTGACAAATTTAGTATTGGCCTGAAGATATTAATCAAATGTGTAATTACCATTCTAAGTGTTCCCAACTCCTGTTAAGTACTGCACGACTATGTGACTGGGGATGATGTATGTGCAGCTTTGTAAGCTTATTTGCTGTAAAGGTACAGCATGCTAAAAAATCTGACTCCTTTAGCTGTTCAGCATCCACTGTCTTGGTTTCTTTTGTTGGTGAACAGTATATTTATGCCCATCTTTCATATTCCCTAGAGTAATTTGTATGGTGTAATCATTTCTCCTTTTAATCAAAGTTTATTCAGTATATGCAGTCTTACATTGCTGCTTTTGTTTCTAAGCTCTGGTATCTCTCTGGAGGCGAACCTCTGGAATTAAGCTGTGGGTGTAGGCTCCATACTCAACTTATCTTCATTTTATACCATGAGTTTTCTATGCATTCCCTAGTGTCAATTGAGGAAAGTTATGTGCAGTTAGAATTTTTTTTTCTATATTTTAAGATAGGGTAAGGTACATTACATAAACTGTCAAAACATGGTAAACCCTCAATTTACTGAGCTAATAGAGGGGAGTGAGTGGCTGGTTATGGTGATTATTGTGGATAAAGATGCAATTTTTTGCCATGATAGTAACAACTGTCTGTTGTTTCTAAATTAAATGACCCAGCAAATTTTGTCCTGTATATCAAAAGTTTATAGGTAGTAGGTTGGTAGACAGCAACCACCCAGGGAAGTACTACCGTCCTGCCAGATGACTGTGAAACGGAAACCTGTAACTGTTTTACATGATGGTAGGATTGCTGGTGTCTTTTTCTGTCTCATAAACACGCTAGATAACAGGGATATCTTGCTACTCCTACTTACAGTTTGGTCACACTTCACAGACACGCACATGCATATATATATACATACATCTAGGTTTTTTCTCCTTTTTCTAAATAGCTTTTGTTCTTCTTTATTTCTTCTATTGTCCATGGGGAAGTGGAAAAGAATCTTTCCTCCGTAAGCCATGCATGTCGTATGAGGCGACTAAAATGCCGGGAGGAGCATGGGCTAGTAACCCCTTCTCCTGTAAACATTTACTAAAAAAGAGAAGAAGAAAAACTTTATAAAACTGGGATGCTTGAATGTGCGTGGATGTAGTGCGGATGACAAGAAACAGATGATTGCTGATGTTATGAATGAAAAGAAGTTGGATGTCCTGGCCCTAAGCGAAACAAAGCTGAAGGGGGTAGGGGAGTTTCGGTGGGGAGAAATAAATGGGATTAAATCTGGAGTATCTGAGAGTTAAAGCTAAGGAAGGGGTAGCAATAATGTTGAAGGATCAGTTATGGAAGGAGAAAAGAGAATATGAATGTGTAAATTCAAGGATTATGTGGATTAAAGTAAAGGTTGGATGCGAAAAGTGGGTCATAATAAGCGTGTATGCACCTGGAGAAGAGAGGAATGTAGAGGAGAGAGAGAGATTTTGGAGATGTTAAGTGAATGTATAGGAACCTTTGAACCAAGTGAGTGAGTAATTGTGGTAGGGGACCTGAATTCTAAAGTAGGAGAAACTTTTAGAGAGGGTGTGGTAGGTAAGTTTGGGGTGCCAGGTGTAAATGATAATGGGAGCCCTTTGACTGAACTTTGTATAGAAAGGGGTTTTTGTTATAGGTAATACATATTTTAAGAAAAAGAGGATAAATAAGTATAAAATATATGATGTAGGGCGAAATGACAGTAGTTTGTTGGATTATGTATTGGTAGATAAAAGACTGTTGAGTAGACTTCAGGATGTACATGTTTATAGAGGGGCCACAGATATATCAGATCACTTTTTAGTTGTAGCTATACTGAGGTAAAAGGTAATGGGATACAAGGAGAATGAAGCATCAGGTAAGAGAGAGGTGAAGGTTTATAAAATAAAGAGGAGGCAGTTAGGGTAAGATATAAACAACTATTGGAGGATAGATGGGCTAATGAGAGCATAGGCAATGGGGTCGAAGAGGTATGGGGTAGGTTTAAAAAAGTAGTGTTAAGTGTTCAGCAGAAGTTTGTGGTTACAGGGAAAGTGGGTGCGGGAGGGAAGAGGAGCGATTGGTGGAATGATGATGTAAAGAGAGTAGTAAGGGAGAAAAAGTTAGCATATGAGAAGTTTTTACAAAGTAGAAGTGATGCAAGGAGGGAGGAGTATATGGAGAAGAAGAGAGAGGTTAAGAGAGTGGTGAAGCAATGTAAAAAGAGAGCAAATGAGAGAGTGGGTGAGATGTTATCAACAAATTTTGTTGAAAATAAGAAAAAGTTTTGAAGTGAGATTAACAAGTTAAGGAAGCCTAGAGAACAAATAGATTTGTCAGTTAAAAATAGGAGAGGAGAGTTAAGTATTGGAAATGGAGGGGATTTTGGGGAAATTGTGGGAATGTTGATGAAGATAGGGAAGCTGTGATTTCGTGTATAGGGCAAGGAGGAATAACATCTTGTAGGAGTGAGGAAGAGCCAGTTGTGAGTGTGGGGGAAGTTTGTGAGGCAGTAGGTAAAATGAAATGGGGTAAGGCAGCTGGGATTGATGGGATAAAGATAGAAATGTTAAAAGCAGGTGGGGATATAGTTTTGGAGTGGTTGGTGCTATTATTTAATGAATGTATGGAAGAGGGTAAGGTACCTAGGGATTGGCAGAGAGCATGCATAGTTCCTTCGTATAAAGGCAAAGGGGACAAAAGAGAGTGCAAAAATTATAGGGGGAGAAGTCTGTTGAGTATACCTGGTAAAGTGTATGGTAGAGTTATTATTGAAAGAATTAAGAGTAAGACGAAGAATAGGATAGCAGATGAACAAGGAGGCTTTAGGAAAGGTAGGGGGTGTGTGGACCAAGTGTTTACAGTGAAACATTTAAGTGAACAGTATTTAGATAAGGCTAAAGAGGTTTTTGTGGCATTTATGGATTTGGAAAAGGCGTATGACAGGGTGGATAGGGGGGCAATGTGGCAGATGTTGCAGATGTATGGTATAGGAGGTAGGTTACTGAAAGCAGTGAAGAGTTTTTACGAGGATAGTGAGGCTCAAGTTACAGTATGTAGGAAAGAGGGAGATTATTTTCCAGTAAAAGTAGGCCTTAGACAAGGATGTGTGATGTCACCGTGGTTGTTCAATACATTTATAGATGGGGTTGTAAGAGAAGTAAATGCGAGGGTCTTGGCAAGAGGTGTGGAGTTAAAAGATAAAGAATCACACATAAAGTGGGAGTTGTCACAGTTGCTCTTTGCTGATGACACTGTGCTCTTGGGTGATTCTGAAGAGAAGTTGCAGAGGTTGGTGGAATGAATTTGGTAGGGTATGTAAAAGAAGAAAATTGAAAGTGAATACAGGAAAGAGTAAGGTCATGAGGATAACAAAAAGATTAGGTGATGAAAGATTGAATATCAGATTGGAGGGAGAGAGTATGGAGGAGGTGAATGTATTCAGATATTTGGGAGTGGACGTGTCAGCGGATGGGTCTATGAAAGATGAGGTGAATCATAGAATTGATGAGGGGAAAAGGGTGAGCGGTGCACTTGGGAGTCTGTGGTGACAAAGAACTTTGTCCTTGGAAGCAAAGAGGGGAATGTATGAGAGTATAGTTTTACCAACACTCCTGTATGGGTGTGAAACATGGGTGATGAATGTTGCCGCGAGGAGAAGGCTGGAGGCAGTGGAGATGTCATGTCTGAGGGCAATGTGTGGTGTGAATATAATGCAGAGAATTCGTAGTTTGGAAGTTAGGAGGAGGTGCAGGATTGCCAAAACTGTTGTCCAGAGGGCTGAGGAAGGGTTGTTGAAGTGGTTCGGACATGTAGAGAGAATGGAGCAAAACAGAATGACTTCAAGAGTGTATCAGTCTGTAGTGAAAGGAAGGTGGGGTAGGGGTCGGCCTAGGAAAGGTTGGAGGGAGGGGGTAAAGGAGGTTTTGTGTGCGAGGGGCTTGGACTTCTAGTGGGCATGCGTGAGCGTGTTTGATAGGAGTGAATGGAGACAAATGGTTTTTAATACTTGACGTGCTGTTGGAATGTGAGCAAAGTAACATTTATGAAGGGATTCAGGGAAACCGGCAGGCCGTACTTGAGTCCTGGAGATGGGAAGTACAGTGCCTACACTCTGAAGGAGGGGTGTTAATGTTGCAGTTTAAAAACTGTAGTGTAAAGCACCCTTCTGGCAAGACAGTGATGGAGTGAATGATGGTGAAAGTTTTTCTTTTTCGGGCCACCCTGCCTTGGTGGGAATCAGCCAGTGTGTTAATAAAAAAAAAAAGTCAAAAGTTTATTAAAGTGAGATCATTAAATTGAGGATTCAGTGTATTTAACCACAAGTAAGTAAATTTGTTTTAACATTTGCTTACCAGATAAGCCATTTCCCATCATAGTGAAGGGACTCAAAGAAGTAAATACATTCACATCACTCATTCAATAATTGTAATGTACAGACATTACAATTCATATGACCCTCCAAACTAACTTTCTTACCCTTCCTTCAGAGTGCAGGCACTGTACTTTCCATTTCTGAAATTCAATTCTGGCTAACCAGTTTTCCTGAATCCCTGCATAAGTGCTCTTTTTCTTGCTTTAATCATTATCTGATGTAAATTATGACACATGACCCCCCCCCCCCTTCCCCCCCCCCCCCCAAAAAAAAAAAAAAAACATAATTCAGAAGAACTTTGTAAGAAATTACATATACTGTACTGTCCTAAATATTTAACAAAAGTATATGAATTACCACTGTGCAGGGTCTCTACCGAGCTGGGTGGACCTGAGAGAAACAGGGCTGCAAAGCCTTGACCAGGCCTTCTTCCAGCCTCTCCTGCAACATATGGCCCAACAAAATATTGTCCACAATGACTGGGGAAAACCTCAACTCTGGATACACAGTAAGTTTTATTGAAGTGGGTTACTGAGCTCAATAAACTCTCATGTGTGCCTATGTATGTGCTCATGTGATTACCTACTTGAAGTTACTGTAGCAAAGTTAGCTTTATGGTATGCCTTCATCAGTATTTAATTTGTCAAAAAGATTTTTAAACTTTCCATTAAGTTTAGGACACACTACCTCCTTTACCATTATCTTATGAAAGTTATTATTCTAGTCAGCAAGAAATATTTTAATTGATTACCTATTTTAGTTTCAGGTGTTTAGTTTGTCATATATCTAATATTATAAAGTTAAAAATGGGGTTTAGATTTGGAATGGCAGGTGCATTTCCTTTTATGCTGTATGTATGAAAGAATGGAAGGTAACTAAGGATTGGCAAAGAACATGCATACTGTAGTTCTTAAAGTGAAGGAAAACAGAAAAGTAAAGCAAATTTCATATAAGGAATAAGCCTGTTAACTGCATTCAGTAAAGTGTACTACAGAATTATGAAATAAGACAAAGTAGGATTGCAGGGGAACAAGATATGTGGCTCATGTTTTGGCATTAAAGTATGTATATAAGTGAGCAATGCCTAGATAAGGGCAAGGAGGTGGCTCATAGCTCCTCGGAAGTAGCACATTCGTCTCACAAGTGAAGAACCCAAGTTCAATCCTGGTAAAGGGCAATATCTAAACAACTGGAACTACTCTCCTCTTCCTTGTATCAAATCTGATATCTCACCATTTCCCAGGCACTGAATGGGTCTTACAAGTTTAATGTTTTCCCATTAATATAATAATAACTATCTCTTCATATTGCTAAAGAAGCTGCATGCACATTTTAAAACTAACAATACCAGTTAACAGCTTTACATGGATCTATAATAGTTCATAAAATTAAAATTTCAGATAGTATAAATAAAAAGATGTGCTGAACCAGGAATACACACCAAGTACGTACTGTATCTAATTTAAAATGTTTTGTCTTCTGTTTCTTAAATCAAATGAGCCTGACTTGAGTCTGACAACATGCAGTCACTTAAACTGTGATGTGTCTGTACCTTTGGCAAGACAGCTTTTGAATGAAGGATGGTGAATGCATTTCCTTTTATTTTGGAGGAGAGACGTTACCCTACCTTGGGAGACAACTAATGTGGTTAAAAGTGTATGATCATACAGGTTTAGAATTTGTTTCACATAATAATAATAAATTCAATAACATGAGCAATTTTTAATATTTAACAGATGAAGAACTGGCATGTGACTGCAGCATCAAGTGGCTGGTTACCAACACGACTCTCCTCAATCATGTGTCAGGCCGATGTAACGACAAGAATATAAACATGCGTTTTCTAGATCCGGATTATTTCAACATCTTTTGCTTCTAGTTATGAATTTCAGTTATCATACCTTTTAGTTCATGAAAAGGCCACAGATAATACTCATATCATACTCCCACCTTATATCATATACTCTGTACAATATTTGGTGCTTTTCAGCTCTTTGAGAGTAATAGCTTTCATTAGCCTTCATAGAGCTTATTTAGTAATGTTAAACAGACAAATATTTCTATAAAGTAGGTGCACAACTTATGTGCAAGTTAAATTCCCATTGTTTCAACTTAAAAGCAAGTTGTTTTACTGGCATTTCAGCTTGTGAACACGTTGCAATCCCGGTGTTTCAACTTAGGAACGAGCTTTTTGTAACCCTGAACCTATTACACTATAGAAAATGGTAGCAGAGGACTACAGATGGTGGTTGTGTCATACATGTTCAAAACAGTAGATTAGAATTCATAAAACAGTTCTGAATATGTCTTTTACTTCTTGTTTATGAATCATCATAATTCTAGCATTTGTGATTCAGGGACACCCTATATAATAAGAATATCATCTAGCAAATAACTGCAAGTCTTAATAAAATCCTTTTTAATCACTACTTCCTTCCTTCCCTTCCTTGAGAGAGTAACTTCATCAAGAAGCTTCCCTGTACTCATTTGTGGTTGTAGGGGTCGATACTCAGATCCTGGCCCTGCCTCTTAATTTGCCACTCTTCAGATTCACTCCCTCTTAGCCGCATGAGATCTTAAAACTGTGTATGAAGCCTGCCTCCTCCACTTCCTCGCCAAGATCATTCCACTTCCCAATTACTGTGAGACAGAAAAAATACATCCTAACATCCCTGTGGCTTATCTGTGCCTTTAACTTCAAATGGTGTCTCCAAGTTCTTGTTTCTCGCCTCTCAAACAGCCTATCCCTCTCAACCTTACCAATTTTTATGAGTATTTTCTGTTGCTATCATGTTTTACCCTGGTTCCTCTGTCCTCTAATGGCTTTAGGTCTAATTCCATTAGTCTCTTCCCATAGTTCATGCCCCTTAGCTCAGGAATAAGCTAAGTTGCATATTTCTGCACATTCTCCAGTTTCTTAACATGCTTTTTCAGGTGCAGGCTCCATGTTTGTGCTGCATACTCCAAGATGGGCCTAATGTACCAGTATGTTGTATAGAGGGCCCAGAATGAATCTACTGACATTCCTGAAGGCTACTCTTAGATTTGCAAGACAAGTACATACTGACTGCAGAGGTTATTAAGCTAATGTGAATCTTTGGCATTATACTGGGCATTATGCTCACCCTTAGGTATTTTTCCGCAGCCTCATTTCTGGTCTTCTTCCTTCCCCAATCTTCATGGGACTGAATTAAATCAACCACTTATTTGACCACTCTTGAAATTTGTACAGAACCTTTGGAGCCTTTACTTGTTCTTTTTTTTTTTTTTTTTTTTTTTTCAACAAGTCGGTCGTCTCCCACCGAGGCAGGGTGACCCAAAAAAAAGAAAGAAAATCCCCAAAAAGAAAATACTTTCATCATCATTCAACACTTTCACCACACTCACACATTATCACTGCTTTTGCAGAGGTGCTCAGAATACAACAGTTTAGAAGCATATACGTATAGAGATACACAACATATCCCTCCAAACTGCCAATATCCCAAACCCCTCCTTTAAAGTGCAGGCATTGTACTTCCCATTTCCAGGACTCAAGTCCGACTATATGAAAATAACCGGTTTCCCTGAACCCCCTTCACTAAATATTACCCTGCTCACACTCCAACAGATCGTCAGGTCCAAGTATCATTCTTCTCCATTCACTCCTATCTAACCCCGCTCATGCACGCTTGCTGGAAGTCCAAGCCCCTCACCCACAAAACCTCCTTTACCCCCCCTCTTTCCAACCCTTTCGAGGACGCCCCCCTACCCCTTTTTCCTTCCCCTATAGATTTATATGCTTTCCATGTCATTTTCTTTGATCCATTCTCTCTAAATGACCAAACCACCTCAACCAACCCCTCTTTCGCCCTCTGACTAATGCTTTTATTAACTCCACACCTTCTCCTAATTTCCACACTCCGAATTTTTCTGCATAATATTTAACCACACATTGCCCTTAGACAGGAAAATCTCCACTGCCTCCAACCGTCTCCTCGCTGCTGCATTTACCACCCAAGCTTCACATCCATATAAAAGTGTTGGTACTACTATACTTTCATACATTCCCTTCTTTGCCTCCATATATAACGTTTTTTGACTCCACATATACCTCAACCCCCACTCACCTTTTTTCCTCATCAATTCTATGGGTTAACCTCATCCTTCATAAATCCATCCGCCGACACATCAACTCCCAAGTATCTGAAAACATTCACTTCTTCCATACTCCTCCTCCCCAATTTGATATCCAATTTTTCTTTATCTAAATCATTTGATACCCTCATCACCTTACTCTTTTCTATGTTCACTTTCAACTTTCTACCTTTACACACATTCTCAAACTCATCCACTAACCTTTGCAATTTTTCTTTAGAATCTCCCATAAGCACAGTATCATCAGCAAAAAGTAACTGTGTCATTTACTTGTTCTTGTCTGTTTTTATTCTCATTAGTTTTACATCATCAGCAAACAGGGATATATCTAAATCAGTCACATCTGGAATGTCATTCACATAAACAAAAATAGTACTGATCCTCATACTAATCTTTGTGTAGCTCCTCAGTCTACTCTTCCCATTCTGATGACTTTCCTGACAATCTCTGCTTCCTTCCTGTGCTTGACAAAACTATCTCAACAAGCCCTCCTCCATCCTCTGGGTTATACTTTTTAAAACTCGATGCTGTCTTCTATGTTTTTCTATTTCTCTGTACTAAAATACTTACCCCACACATCTGTCTCAAACATGACATCCACTGCCTCTAGCCACCTCCTCACTGAATAGTTTAATGACCATGGGTCACACCCATATAAACTAATGGTACCGCTATACTCAGGTACATTACCCCTTATTTTTTTTTTTTTTCAACAAGTCAGCCGTCTCCCACTGAGGCAGGGTGACCCAAAAAAGAAAGAAAATCCCCAAAAAGAAAATATTCATCATCATTCAACACTTTCACCACACTCACACATTATCACTGTTTTTGGAGAGATGCTCAGAATACAGCAGTTTAGAAGCATACACATATAAAGATACACAACATATCCCTCCAAACTGCCAATATCCCAAACCCCTCCTTTAAAGTGCAGCCATTGTACTTCCCATTTCCAGGACTCAAGTCCGACTATATGAAAATAACCGGTTTCCCTGAATCCCTTCACTAAATATTACCCTGCTCACACTCCAACAGATCGTCAGGTCCCAAGTACCATTCGTCTCCATTCACTCCTATCTAACACGCTCATGCACGCTTGCTGGAAGTCCAAGCCCCTTGCCCACAAAACCTTCTTTACCCCCTCTCTCCAACCCTTTCGAGGACGACCCCTACCCCGCCTTCCTTCCCTATAGATTTATATGCTTTCCATGTCATTCTATTTGATCCATTCTCTCTAAATGACCAAACCACCTCAACAACCCCTCTTCTGCCCTCTAATACTTTTATTAACTCCACACCTTTTCCTAATTTCCACACTCCGAATTTTCTGCATAATATTTACACCACACATTGCCCTTAAACAGGACATCTCCACTGCCTCCAACCGTCTCCTCGCTGCTGCATTTACCACCCAAGCTTCACACCCATATAAGAGTGTTGGTACTATTATACTTTCATACATTCCCTTCTTTGCCTCCATAGATAACGTTTTTTGACTCCACATATACCTCAATGCACCACTCACCTTTTTTCCCTCATCAATTCTATGATTAACCTCATCCTTCATAAATCCATCCGCCGACACGTCAACTCCCAAGTATCTGAAAACATTCACTTCTTCCATACTCCTCCTCCCCAATTTGATATCCAATTTTTCTTTATCTAAATCATTTGATACCCTCATCACCTTACTCTTTTCTATGTTCACTTTCAACTTTCTACCTTTACACACATTCCCAAACTCATCCACTAACCTTTGCAATTTTTCTTTAGAATCTCCCATAAGCACAGTATCATCAGCAAAAAGTAACTGTGTCAATTCCCATTTTGAATTTGATTCCCCAAAATTTAATCCCACCCCTCTCCCGAACACCCTAGCATTTACTTCCTTTACAACCCCAGCTATAAATATATTAAACAACCATGGTGACATTACACATCCCTGTCTAAGACCTACTTTTACCAGGAAGTAGTCTCCCTCTCTTCTACACACCCTAACCTGAGCCTCACTATCCTCATAAAAACTCTTTACAGCATTTAATAACTTACCACCTATTCCATATACTTGCAACATCTGCCACATTGCTCCTCTATCCACTCTATCATATGCCTTTTCTAAATCCATAAATGCAATAAAAACTTCCCTACCTTTATCTAAATACTGTTCACATATATGCTTCAATGTAAACACTTGATCTACACATCCCCTACCCACTCTGAAACCTCCTTGCTCATCCGCAATCCTACATTCTGTCTTGCCTCTAATTCTTTCAATTATAACCCTACCGTACACTTTTCCTGGTATACTCAGTAAACTTATTCCTCTATAATTTTTACAATCTCTTTTGTCCCCTTTCCCTTTATATAAGAAAGCCTAGGGAAAGTATGGATTTGTCAGTTAAAAACAGAGTAGGGGAGTTAGTAGATGGGGAGATGGAGGTATTAGGTAGATGGCGAGAATATTTTGAGGAACTTTTAAATGTTAAGGAAGAAAGAGAGGCAGTAATTTCATGCACTGGTCAGGGAGGTATACCATCTTTTAGGAGTGAAGAAGAGCAGAATGTAAGTGTGGGGGAGGTACGTGAAGCATTACGTAGAATGAAAGGGGGTAAAGCAGCTGGAATTGATGGGAACATGACAGAAATGTTAAACGCAGGGGGGGATATAGTGTTGGAGTGGTTGGTACTTTTGTTTAATAAATGTATGAAAGAGGGGAAGGTACCTAGGGATTGGCAGAGAGCATGTATAGTCCCCTTATTACCTCTATAAATAACTTCTTTTTACAGACACCTCAACACAACCTCTATCTTTTCTTCCCTTGTTTATTTTGTGTTTCACTTAATCTTCCAAAGACCTGTCTGCTGACACAGCCACTCCCAAATACCTAAACACATTCATTTCCTCTTTAATTAATTAACTCTCTCTAATCTGATATCCAGTACTTTATCATCTAAACTTTTTTGTTACTCTCATCATCTTGCTTTTTTCTCTGATCACTTTAATTTCTTTCCTTTACACATACACATCTAAACTCCTCACTAACGTTTCCAACTTCTCTTCAGAAGCACCCTTGAGAAAAGCCTGCCTATGAGAGTAGGATTTCTGTCTCACAGTTAGCAGACAGAGAATAAAGCCTGTTGCACTGAATGACCTATGCAGGTTTAGTTTTTCAGACAAATATAATAATATAGTCTTCAGAATCTCCCTAAAGAAGTTTCATCAGCAAAGAGTAACTATGGTAAGTCCCACTTCATATCAGGCTCATTATCTTTCAGTCATACACCTCTCCCCAACACTCTAGCATTCACTTCTTTTACAATCTCATCTATAAATATATTGCATAACTAAGATGACATCACAAATTTGTGTCAGTGTGGGGTGAGGTGGGGTGTTTGGGTGGGTGGGTGGGTGGTTGGTTGGTTGGATTTTTTTGTGTGTGAGTGTGTGCACACATGTGCATGCATATGGCTGAGTGCATGTGTATGTGCATATGTGTGCATGCATACATTCATATGTGTATGCATGTGCATGTCCTGTTCACATCATTATTCACCTTAACTAAAACACATATTCCATCATAACAATTACTGTATACAAGTGTGCAATAAAGAGTTTTAAAGTGCGTGATAAAGAGTTTTAAATTGCACTGTTATATTTACAAGAAAAACTACACTTTTTAACTGTGCAGGAGAATTAATATTTTGAGGTTTCATATTTATGCTAATGTTGAAGCCAGCAACAGCAGCATGTTCAACCCTACATTTCCCTCTTCCCTGCTCACTGATCACAGAGTCATAGCAAATCGAAGTTGCTGTATCAAAGTACCATTAGCACCTTTTGCTACATTGTGTGTTATATCTAAGAAACTATTCTGCCCAGTAAATATTGAGAAAGTTATTGCAAAGGATGAAACAAACAGTAACCATGAATATAGAGGATCCATTCAACATCTTGCAGCAGTGATCAAACACATTTACAATTAACCCAAAATTGAAGCTCAATAATGGTCTGCATGGACCAAAACATTTTAAAAAAATTCTCTTAATTGTGTGTTAGTTGTGAACTGTTCCATCCACAGTATTGTGTCTTGTATTCATCACAAACATGGCTATACACAAGGACTAGCATTCAATATTCAGCAAGTTGGAGTTCATTTCTCAACCTATGATGTCTACTTAAATTATCTATGTTCATTTTCAACTACTGCTATATTGTATTGCACCAAATTTTAGCATCACTAAAATAAATTACATGTATAAACAAACATCATGTCACTCACCTTTACAGCATGAGGAAGGTTGCACATTCCAGAATCCCATCATAAAACTAGTTTTTTTACATAAATAATAAAATAGTCAAATAATTTAAAGTTAAGAGCCATTTACATAAGAACAGAGAAGAACTGCAGAAGGCCTATTCTAGTCAGGTCCTTCTAAAGGTCCTTCTCAAATCCAACTTTTCAAACTCGCACAGTGTTTGTCTAACATACTTTTAAAGTTACCCAAGACATCATCCTCACCAATGTTACCTGGCAGCTCGTTTCACTCATCTATAACTCTATTACTTTGAACCTGTTGGTCCATAAGGTGAACCTTTCCTTATTTACCTTCATTGTCCAGCGAGCAGACTTGTCTTGTGTGAGTAGGTGTGCTAGCTGAACCTGGAACCCTGAAGGTGCATCACCATATGGATACCGACCATCTTTCAGCTTCACTGATAAGCCTTCACCAGAACGCAATATTGTTTCCAGTACAGACCAAGTCTTATTCTGCGAAGAAAATCTGAAAAGTGTACACATAAAACAAAATTGGAATATACAGTTGTGGTATGGTGTCATCACCTATAAAAGCATGAACAAGCTAGAAGCTACAAAATATCTCCCAGAGAGTTATAAAGAAATCTTTCTTTCTTTCAACACACTGGCTGTATCCCACCGAGGCAGGGTGGCCCAAAAGGAAAAACGAAAGTTTCTCCTTTTACATTTAATAATATATACAGGAGAAGGGGTTACTAGCCCCTTGCTCCCGGCGTTTTAGTCGCCTCTTACAACACGCATGGCTTACGGAGGAAGAATTCTGTTCCACTTCCCCATGGAGGTAAGAGGAAATAAGCAAGAACAAGAACTAGAAAGAAAATAGAAGAAAACCCAAAGGGGTGTGTATATATATGCTTGTACATGTATGTGTAGTGTGACCTAAGTGTAAGTAGAAGCAGCAAGATGTACCTGAAATCTTGCATGTGTATGAGACAGAAAAAAAAAGACACCAGCAATCCTACCATCGTGTAAAACAATTACAGGCTTCAGTTTTACACTCACTTGGCAGGATGGTAGTACCTCCCTGGGCGGTTGCTCTCTACCAACCTACTACCTAGGTTATGAAGAAATGCTGAAAGTATTAAGACATGCCTTCCTTAACTCATAGGAGATGAGGAGACATGATAACTACTTTTTTTTTTTTTTTTTTTTTTTTTTTTTTCAACAAGTCGGTCGTCTCCCACCGAGGCAGGGTGACCCAAAAAAGAAAGAAAATCCCCAAAAAGAAAGTACTTTCATCATCATTCAACACTTTCACCACACTCACACATTATCACTGCTTTTGCAGAGGTGCTCAGAATACAACAGCTTAGAAGCATATACGTATAAAGATACACAACATATCCCTCCAAACTGCCAATATCCCAAACCCCTCCTTTAAAGTGCAGGCATTGTACTTCCCATTTCCAGGACTCAAGTCCGACTATATGAAAATAACCGGTTTCCCTGAATCCCTTCACTAAATATTACCCTGCTCACACTCCAACAGATCGTCAGGTCCCAAGTATCATTCGTCTCCATTCACTCCTATCTAACACGCTCATGCACGCTTGCTGGAAGTCCAAGCCCCTCACCCACAAAACCTCCTTTACCCCCTCTTTCCAACCCTTTCGAGGACGACCCTACCCCTCTTTCCTTCCCCTATATATTTATATGCTTTCCATGTCATTCTACTTTGATCCATTCTCTCTAAATGACCAAACCACCTCAACAACCCCTCTTCTGCCCTCTGACTAATGCTTTTTTTAAAACTCCACACCTTCTCCTAATTTCCACACTCCGAATTTTCTGCATAATATTTACACCACACATTGCCCTTAGACAGGACATCTCCACTGCCTCCAACCGTCTCCTCGCTGCTGCATCTACCACCCAAGCTTCACATCCATATAAGTGTTGGTACTACTATACTTTCATACATTCCCTTCTTTGCCTCCATAGATAACGTTTTTTGACTCCACATATACCTCAACGCACCACTCACCTTTTTTCCCTACTTATCTGACAGTAAAGGGATAAAAAAAATTTATATGGAAGATCTTAACACTATAAGTAGAGAGAACAAGAGATCACAGCCATAGTGATACAGTGCCTAGAGAATGAACAAAGGAACTAGGTGACAAAAGCAATAAATGCTAAAACTGCTGGAAATTAAAAAAATTTTATAAGAGATTAAATACTATGTAAATATTATGCAGAAAATTCGGAGTGTGGAAATTAGGAGGAGGTGTGGAGTTAATAAAAGTATTAGTCAGAGGGCAGAAGAGTGGTTGTTGAGGTGGTTTGGTCATTTAGAGAGAATGGATCAAAGTAGAATGACGTGGAGAGCGTATAAATCTGTAGGGGAAGGAAGGCGGGGTAGGGGTCGTCCTCGAAAAGGTTGGAAGGAAGGGTTAAGGGAGGTTTTGTGGGCGAGGGACTTGGACTTCCAGCTGGCATGCATGAGCGTGTTCGATAGGAGTGAATGGAGACAAATGGTATTTGGGACCTGACGATCTGTTGGAGTGTGAGCAGGGTAATATTTAGTGAAGGGATTCAGGGAAGGTACCTAGGGATTGGCGGAGAGCATGTATAGTCCCTTTATATAAAGGGAAAGGGGACAAAAGAGATTGTAAAAATTATAGAGGAATAAGTTTACTGAGTATACCAGGAAAAGTATACGGTAGGGTTATAATTGAAAGAATTAGAGGTAAGACAGAATGTAGAATTGCGGACGAGCAAGGAGGTTTCAGAGTGGGTAGGGGATGTGTAGATCAAGTGTTTACATTGAAGCATATATGTGAACAGTATTTAGATAAAGGTAGGGAAGTTTTTATTGCATTTATGGATTTAGAAAAGGCATATGATAGAGTGGATAGAGGAGCAATGTGGCAGATGTTGCAAGTATATGGAATAGGTGGTAAGTTACTAAATGCTGTAAAGAGCTTTTATGAGGATAGTGAGGCTCAGGTTAGGGTGTGTAGAAGAGAGGGAGAATACTTCCCGTAAAAGTAGGTCTTAGACAGGGATGTGTAATGTCACCATGGTTGTTTAATATATTTATAGATGGGGTTGTAAAAGAAGTAAATACTAGGGTGTTCGGGAGAGGGGTGGGATTAAATTATGGGGAATCAAATTCAAAATGGGAATTGACACAGTTACTTTTTGCTGATGATACTGTGCTTATGGGAGATTCTAAAGAAAAATTGCAAAGGTTAGTGGATGAGTTTGAGAATGTGTGTAAAGGTAGAAAGTTGAAAATGGACATAGAAAAGAGTAAGGTGATGAGGGTATCAAATGATTTAGATAAAGAAAAATTGGATATCAAATTGGGGAGGAGGAGTATGGAAGAAGTGAATGTTTTCAGATACTTGGGAGTTGACGTGTCGGCGGATGGATTTATGAAGGATGAGGTTAATCATAGAATTGATGAGGGAAAAAAGGTGAGTGGTGCGTTGAGGTATATGTGGAGTCAAAAAAACGTTATCTATGGAGGCAAAGAAGGGAATGTATGAAAGTATAGTAGTACCAACACTCTTATATGGATGTGAAGCTTGGGTGGTAAATGCAGCAGCGAGGAGACGGTTGGAGGCAGTGGAGATGTCCTGTCTAAGGGCAATGTGTGGTGTAAATATTATGCAGAAAATTCGGAGTGTGGAAAATTAGGAGAAGGTGTGGAGTTAATAAAAGCATTAGTCAGAGGGCAGAAGAGGGGTTGTTGAGGTGGTTTGGTCATTTAGAGAGAATGGATCAAAGTAGAATGACATGGAAAGCATATAAATCTATAGGGGAAGGAAAGAGGGGTAGGGGTCGTCCTCGAAAGGGTTGGAAAGAGGGGTAAAGGAGGTTTTGTGGGTGAGGGCTTGGACTTCCAGCAAGCGTGCATGAGCGTGTTAGATAGGAGTGAATGGAGACGAATGATACTTGGGACCTGACGATCTGTTGGAGTGTGAGCAGGGTAATATTTAGTGAAGGGATTCAGGGAAACCGGTTATTTTCATATAGTCGGACTTGAGTCCTGGAAATGGGAAGTACAATGCCTGCACTTTAAAGGAGGGGTTTGGGATATTGGCAGTTTTGGAGGGATATGTTGTGTATCTCTATACGTATATGGTTCTAAACTGTTATATTCTGAGCACCTCTGCAAAAGCAGTGATAATGTGTGAGTGTGGTGAAAGTGTTGAATGATGATGAAAGTATTTTCTTTTTGGGGATTTTCTTTCTTTTTTTTGGGTCACCCTGCCTCGGTGGGAGACGACCGACTTGTTGGAAAAAAAAAAAAAAAAAAAAAAATCAGGGAAACCGGTTAGTTTTGTATAGCTGGACTTGAGTCCTGGAAATGGGAAGTACAATGCCTGCACTCTAAAGGAGTGGTTCGGGATATTAGCGGTTTGGAGGGATATGTTGTGTATCTTTATACGTATATGCTTCTAAACTGATGTGTTCTGAGCATCTCTGCAAAAATAGTGATTATGTGTGAGTGAGGTGAAAGTGTTGAATGATGATGAAAGTATTTTCTTTTTGGGTCACCCTGTCTCGGTGGGAGACGGCCGACTTGTTAAAAAAAAAAAAAAAAAAAAAAATACTAGACATAGGACACCATGAGCTTAGCTCTGCTCCCGTAGATGCAAAACAGATAATTGCAAGCTGGTAATTAGAGAACATACAAAAAACAATTAATCAAGCAAATAAATGTACATGCACATCTTCATTTCACTTTATTTTTCAGTTTGTGCTTATTTACTTTTGCATTGTCTCAGACTCCATACATAATTTTAAGATCAAGTACAAAAGGGCCCATGAAGCTAGGAGGGAATGAATCTGGCAAGCGGCAAGTTGGGAGGGCAGGGGTCAGGAGCTAAGACATGACCACTGAAACCCTATATAGGTGAGTGCTTAAAGGTGAATACTCTTACTGGAATAAATACACTTGTACATAATAAGTAAAACATTAAGTTCTGTTACCTAACAGGCCAATACCGATGATTAGCAGCATCACCTTCTATAATAACTTGAGACAGCTTGGACAGTTCCGGCAACATCAGTGGAGCCATAGCTTCATAAGACTGATTCTTGTACTGGTGGGTGTCACTGAACCTGCAAGAAAACAAAACCAAATGTTTTTCTATCATTAATAATGATTTTTAAGAAATTTAGTACAATTTGGTGTTAATTCTTAAATTTATTATCCACTACAACTTTTTTGGCTTCATACAGCACAAAATACACTGTATCTAATAAATGAACATTATTTTTATATGTGAAAATTAACTGTCAATGGGAAAGAAATTACTCAACACAGTTATGAATAAACCTAAATATGATGTGCATAACTATGAAGTTATTAATGTTTCAAAAAAATTTAAATATACAACTATCACAATCTTGTAGCCTTTACAAACTTTTTTGAAAATAATTACCATTATTATTATTAAAGCTAAGCCTTAATCTCAGCTACTGAATATGAAAATCACCTCACACTTTCTCAACCAGTGGGACAAAAACAGCTAACATCAGCGTGAGCAAAACACAAATCAGGAGGAAAATGTGTGACTTCTCAGCACCCAATAACAATATTTGTCAACCAAGCAAATACATGCAGCATGTAACTTTGCTAATAATAATTGGAGAATGTGCCTATGCACCACAATTCAAGTGTGTAAATTAGGTACAACTGCAGAATGCATGCCTGAAGGTCATAACATACAGTAACCTATATTATACTTGGTAATACAACAGTAGAATATACTGTCAGTACAATAATAAGACAATGTGTGGGTTATTGCATATTATTAATGGAGGAGTTTCATTCACCACAGTCTTTATCATTTCACGACTTGATAAAGGTTCTCGGTGGACAAAAGATCTTCATAAATAAAATGTTATATAGTACATACCTTGTCTTGTTTACACTGTATCTGGTGAGTACAATTCAGTATAGTAATAAAGTACAGTGGAACCTTGTTCTTCGACCGTAATCCATTCCAGAAGGTCGGCCTAAATTTGAAGCACTATTTCCCTATAAGAATTAATGTAAATACAATTAATCCGTTCCAGACACCCAAAAATATTCACAAAAAATGCATTTTTTAAAGATTAATTATAGTTTTACATACACAAAATAATGAGAACTAAATAAAATAAATTAAGAACATTTAAATCACTATTACATACCTTTATTGAAGACTCTTGCTGGCTTATGGAAGACAGGGGGGAGGAGGAGGAGGAGAGTTTGGAGACAGGACAAGATACTCCTTCAATATGATGCTAATATAAACTCTACAGCTTATTTATCTATCACAATTGATCTAATAAGACATGATAAACAATATTAATAACATAGAAACATGATATATACTCTAGAATGAATAAAATATGTCATTACGTATGTGAGGAGTAAGTGGTGGTGATGTTGTTGTTGGGTTTATAAAGGCCACTGAGAGAAGTCATACATATTAGTGATAATGGAGGCAGCAGCAGAAGCCAGTAACACTATTCACACAAACAATGTATGTAATTTATAAATAAGAAATATTTACACTTGTAATTTTTAAATAAGAAATATTTCCACTTACTGTACCTTGGAGATGCTGGCATTGGTTTAGGGTGGTGGAAGAAGGCAGGGCGGCATATGTTGGTAGTGGCCCTATATACCTCCAACAACATTGGAGGAGTCAGTTTTGTATCTTCCTTTTTCTTTCGCTTAACTTACTTGCTACACTGTTAATGCTACACTTTATTGCTGGCTACATATATTGTAGAATCACTGAATCACATCAGCTTCCTTGATTTGTTCTTTCTTTGCCAGGATAGAAGTGATTGTTGATTTGTTTTTGCTATACATCCTGGGAAGTTCCAGCACCCACACACCACACTCATATTTTTCTATTACTTCGTTCTTAAATTCCATCGTGTTTCTCACTTCCTTTATCAAAGGAACTTTACTAGGAACTTTCTTGTAGCCCATGGTAGCTTATTTCACAGTTGCACTTAATAAAAAAACACGAAAAACAATGGATTTTAAGGAAATGTTTGGATCAATGTGCGGAGTACATGTTCACTCGCTGACAAAGGGAGACTGACTCACGAAAGCCCGGCGTCCCGGCGGGGGAGGCAGGCTAACGCTTCTAATATAGCTGATACACGAGGCAACGGCCGAAATACAGAGCAAAATTTTTGCCGAAAAATAGGCCTAAATACGAATTGGCTGATAAACAAAGTGGCCAAAAAACGAGGTTCCACTATATAATACAGGGTAATATTATGCATTATTAATTAAGAGTAATCTGTGGCTATATGTGGGTTCATAATAGTCATGCAGCTATATGTGGATTCATAATATGTGATGACCCCATTTCTACCAGTAATTCCCTATGTATGACAAATTCATGTGATCAGTGCAGTTCATACCACACAAGTGAAATACTAGTGTATGCACTTCACTTTGGGATTACTACATCAGTCACATAAATCAAGGGACACCTGTATTTTGAAGATACAATACAAAATTATAACCACCTCACCTAACAGTAACATTGACTTGGCAGAGTCTTCCAGTATCTACATCAACTGGCATCAGTAACCTTGGCTCAGCAGCCAAAACATACAAGTGCCTCAATGCCTGGAAAATTCAAAAGTTAATTTGACAACCAAAAAACAAAACAAATAAACAGTATAGTTCTAGACTTTGGATAGGGTGTTTCACAATCATTTGTGTTAATAATGACTGTTCAGTTTCACTTTAAATACTCAAAATGCATAAACTAAAATTTTATAGAATAAGTCATAATATAGTAGAAGCACATCAAAATCCTTCCATTATTTCAATGACAGAATGCCACAGGGTTAAGGCTTCCTAGTGAAGTACCACAAACCAAAAAAAGACCACAGCATGGCTTGAGAGGCACAGACTGCACAAACTGCAGTGACCCTAAACAACGTCACTCAATGTCTCAAGACATGCACTGTACGTAGGCTTGGACAAGTCATGGTGCTCATCTCTTTCCTCATTCATGAAAACCCACAATACTTCAAAATAGTACATTAATATCAAATTACCATTACTTGGTACATTAGTTGGTAATTTTTATCATTATTTATGATGATACACAAACAGATCAAATTATTGTTACCTGTAAATGATAGCGGTTGTCATTGGAATGAGTTGGAAACTTTGGGAAGCAGGCAATGAGGAGAGCAGCAATAGCCATGTTAGAAGTTCCAAGGGAGAAGCGTCCCCCACCCAAGTACAGGAAGCCTAATGCCATATGGATTGTCAAATGGGAGCCATACCTGAAATATGGCATTAAATAATGATACAGAACCTCTAATTTTCTTTTATCACTTATCATAACCCACCACTGGTTAATATCACCTTTTTTTTTTTAAGACATTGGCCATTTTCCACAGAGGCAGGGTGACCCAAAAAGAAAGAAAAACCCAAAACGGAAAAAAAAAACTTTCATCATCCTTCAACACTTTCACCATCAATCATACATAATCACTGTCTTTGCAGAAGTGCTCAGATATGACAGTTTAGACGTTCCTCCAAACTGCCAATATCCTAAACCCCTCCTTAACCCGTAAACGGTCCAAACGTATATACAGTGGAACCTCAAAAATCGAACTGCTCCCAACACGACCAATTATGTAAGTGTATTTTTGTAAGTGCTTTTATAAGTGTATTTTTGAGGGTCTGAAATGGACTAATCTAATTTACATTATTCCTGATGGGAATAAATTCATTCGGTAAAGGCACTTGTACAGCCTTCTGGACTGAAGAAAGTTCGATATTTGAGGTTCCACTGTATACGTTTTTTCAACATTTGAATGTAAAAAAAGTAGATCTTTTTTTTTTTTTTTTTACATTTGAAAATTTGTAAAAAACTTTAATCTACTTCTTTTTTTTTTGTTATATTTGAAAATATGTAAAAAAAAATGTAGATCTACTTTTGGAGCACTACACATGTGAACGTAGATCTGCTTGGACCGTTTACGGGTTAAATTCTGAGAATAAAACACTAGGATACCCAGCCATCACAACAGTCAATTACTGGAATAGGATTCCAGAGGTAATTTATGCTACAAACAATGCATACATGAAAAAATACAACAAACTCAATGCTACAAGAAGGGCCACAATGAGTATAACTCTACTCCTATAACAACTAGCTGAAGTAAATAATCACATTAAATCAGCCACTGCACTATTACATACAATTTTTTTTTTCAACAAGTCGGCCGTCTCCCATCCAGGCAGGGTGACCCAAAAAGAAAATCCCCAAAAAGCAAATACTTTCATCATCATTCAACACTTTCACCTCACTCACACACAATCACTGTCTTTGCAGAGGCACCCAGATACAACAGTTTAGAAGCACATATAAAGATACATAACTATAACATACCCCTCCAAACTGCCAATATCCCAAACCCCAATATCCCAAACCGGTTTCCCTGAATCCCTTCACTAAATATTACCCTGCTCACACCCCAACAGCTCGTCAGGTCCCAAAAACCATTTGTCTCTATTCACTCCTATCTAACACGCTCACACATGCTTGCTGGAAGTCCAAGCCCCTTGCCCACAAAACCTCCTGTACCCCCTCCCTCCAACCTTTTTGAGGATGACCCCTACCCTGCCTGTTCTCCAAGTCATTCTACTTTGATCCATTCTCTCTAAATCACCAAACCACTTCAACAACCCCTCTTCAGCCCTCTAACTAATACTTTTAGTAACTCCACACCTCCTAATTTCCACACTCTGAACTCTCTACATAATATTTACACCAAACATTGCCCTTAGACAAGACATCTCCACTACCTCCAGCCACCTCCTTGCAACCCAAGCTTCACACCCATATAAGAGTGTTGGCACCACTATACTTTCATACATTCCCTTCTTGGCCTCAATGGATAATGTTTTTTGTCTCCACAGATACCTCAATGCACCACTCACCTTTTTTCCTTCATCAATTCTATGGTTAACCTCATCCTTCATAAATCCATTTGCTGACATGTCAACTCCCAAATATCTGAAAACATTCACCTCTTCAATACTGCTCCTCTCCAATTTGATATCCAATTTTTCTTTATCTAAATCATTTGATACCTTCATCACCTTACTCTTATCTATGTTCACTTTCAACTTTCTACCTTTACACACCCTCCCAATCTTATCCACTAACCTTTTCAACATTTCTTTAGAATCTCCCATAAGCACAGTATCATCAGCAAAAAGCAACTGTGTCAACTCCCATTTTGTATTTGATTTCCCATAATTTAATCCCACCCCTCTCCCCAACACCGTAGCATTTACTTCTTTTACAACCCCATCTATAAATATATTAAACAACCATGGTGACATTATATACCCCTGTCTAAGACCTACTTTTACCGGGAAGTAATCTCCCTCTCATTTACACGCCCTAATCTGAGCCACACTATCCTCATAAAAACTCTTTACAGCATTTAGTAACTTGCTACCTATTCCATATACTTGCAATACCTGCCACATTGCTCCCCTATCCACTCTATCTTATGCCTTTTCTAAATCCATAAATGCAATGAAAACTTCCCTACCTTTATCTAAATACTGTTCACATATATGCTTCAATGTAAACACTTGATCTACACATCTCCTACCCATTCTAAAGCCTCCTTGCATATCTGCAATCCTACTCTCTGTCTTACCTCTAATTCTTTCAATAATAACCCTACCATACACTTTTCCTAGTACACTCAGTAAACTTTTTTTTTTCAACAAATCAGCCGTATCCCACCAAGGCAGGGTGGCCCATGAAGAAAAACAAAAGTTTCTCTTTTTAAATTTAGTAATTTATACAGGAGAAGGGGTTACTAGCCCCTTGCTCCTGGCATTTTAGCCGCCTCTTACAACACGCATGGCTTACTGAGGAAGAATTCTGTTCCACTTCCCCATGGAGATAAGAGGAAATAAACAAGAACAAGAACTAGAAAGAAAATAGCAGAAAACCCAGAGGGGTGTGCATGCTTGTACATGTACGTGTAGTGGAAATAGAAGTAGCAAGACATACCTGAAATCTTGCACGTTTATGAGACAGACAAAAGACACCAGCAATCCTATCATCATGTAAAACAATTACAGGCTTTTGTTTTACACTCACTTGGCAGGACAGTAGTACCTCCCTGGGTGGTTGCTGTTTACCAACCTACTACCTAGGACTCAGTAAACTTTTTTTTTGTTTGTTTTTTTCAACAAACCAGCCATATCCCACCAAGGCTGGGTGGCCCAAAAAGAAAAACAAAAGTTTCTCTTTTTAAATTTAGTAATTTCTACAGGAGAAGGGGTTACTAGGCCCTTGCTTCCGGCATTTTAGTCACCTCTTACAACACGCATGGCTTACGGAGGAAGAATTCTGTTCCACTTCCCCATGAGATAAGAGGAAATAAACAAGAACTAGAAAGAAAATAGAAGAAAACTCAGAGGGGTGTGTGTATATATGTGCTTATACATATATGTGTAGTGTGACCTAAGTGTAAGTAGAAGTAGCAAGATGTACCTGAAATCTTGCATGTTTATGAGACAGAAAAAAGACACCAGCAATCCTACCATCATGTAAAACAATTACAGGTTTCCATTTTACACTCACCTGGCAGGATGGTAGTACCTCCCTGGGTGGTTGCTGTTTACCAACCTACTACCTAGGACTCAGTAAACTTCTTTCTTTCTTTCAACACACCGGCCGTATCCCACCGAGGCGGGGTGGCCCAAAAGGAAAAACGAAAGTTTCTCCTTTTACATTTAGTAATATATACAGGAGAAGAGGTTACTAGCCCCTTGCTCCCGGCATTTTAGTCGCCTCTTACAACACGCATGGCTTACGGAGGAAGAATTCTGTTCCACTTCCCCATGGAGATAAGAGGAAATAAACAAGAATAAGAACTAGAAAGAAAATAGAAGAAAACCCAGAGGGGTGTGTATATATGTGCTTGTACATGTATGTGTAGTGTGACCTAAGTGTAAGTAGAAGTAGCAAGACACCTGAAATCTTGCATGTTCATGAGACAGAAAAAAGGACACCAGCAATCCTACCATCATGTAAAACAATTACAGGCTTTCGTTTTACACTCACTTGGCAAGGACGGTAGTACCTCCCTGGGCGGTTGCTGTCTAGCAACCTACTACCTAGGACTCAGTAAACTTATTTCCCTATAATTTTTACAATCTCTTTTGTCCCCCTTCCCTTTTTATAAAGGAACTATACATGCTCTCTGCCAATCCCTAGGTACCTTCCCCTCTTTCATACATTTTTTAAACAAAAGTACCAACCACTCCAACACTATATCCCCCTACCCCTGTTTTTAACATTTCTGTCATGATCCCGTCAGTTCCAGCTGCTATACCCCCTTTCATTCTACGTAATGCCTCACGCACCTCCCCCACACTCACATCCTGCTCTTCTTCACTCCTAAAAGATGTTATACCTCCCTGGCCAGTGCATGAAATTGCCACCTCCCTTTCTTCATCGGCATTTAAAAGATCCTCAAAATATTCCTGCCATCTACCCAATACCTCTAGCTCCCCATCTACTAATGCCCCTACTCTGTTTTTAACTGACAAATCCATTTGTTCCCAAGAGTTTCTTAACTTATCTCACTCCATAACTTTTTCTTATTTTCATCAAAATTTCTTGACAGTGCCTCTCCCACTCTATCATCTGCTCTCCTTTTGCACTCTTACCACTCTCTTCACCTTTCTTTTTAATTAATTAATTTAATTCCTTTTAATGACTGGTAATAAACATACCTCTCATTAACCCTTTCAGGGTTTGTGCCGTAGATCTACGGCTTTACGTTCAGGGTCCAAACCGTAGATCTACGCCATGAGCTCAGCTCACTCTGATAAGCTGTGAGCAGTAAATTTAGGCCTAGATACGAGAGAGTACATCTATGTGGTATGTGTGCACCACATAAAACAACTCCTGGAGCACACAGTGCATAATGAGAGAAAAAACTGAGACCGTAATTTTCGATTAAAACAGCGACTGCAGTTTTTTTCATATGTTTTTATAGTTGTATTTGTAATTTCTTGGTCTCATTTGATAGAATGGAAGATATACTACAGAAATAGAAATGATTTTGATTGGTTTAAGTACTGGAAATGGCTTGAAACTGAGCTCAAAGTAGCAGAAATGTTAATTTTTTGCCGATGTTCAAGAGTAAACAAATTATTTCACACGTCTAATACATGACTGCTGGTGGGTCTAATATACATTCACAAATGTGGTGATATTATTTTTACAATTATTACAGTATTGCATAACAGTAAATCTTCTATTTTTTTGGTTTGAATAAAAATTCATTATGTGAATAAAAAATCAAAATGGAATTCATTTGTAAAGCCTGAAAATGTAACTAATGAACAGAGGAAATGTTAGTTTAGTGCCAGGAATGCCTGCATTGTTTATCCTGGACCCTATTTTTAAACTGGAATATTTTGAACTTTGCATTAAATTGGCCAAATTACCAATTTCCAGTCACTTTATTTTGTTGTTGAAACAGTTGACTTGGCGATTTCTTGTGCTCAATCGACAGAATAGAAGTAATACTAGTGAAATAGCTAAGAATTTGGTTGACTGGAATACTGTAATTGCCCTAAAATGGGAGTCAAAGTCGGCAAAATCGCCGATGCGTAAATATCGCTGACACATCAAAATTCGCGAGAGCATAATTTCGTCAATTTTCCATCAAATTTCGTACTTTTGTTTTATTACCTTCAGAAAAAGATTCTCTATTATTTCATAAGAAAAAATAACAAAATTATTTTTTGAAAATTCTTGGACCCTGGTGTGCACTTTGAAATTTGGCCTCTGGATAATGAAAGGGTTATGTTTACCTCTAATTTTCACACCATTCCAGTTGTTACGCTTATCAATTATATGCACTGTCAATTCAAACTATGTAAATAAAAATTATAATAAATTTAGTATTCTCAAACTTTGTTTTGCCAGTGCTAAACCTTCTTCATCATTTCTTTTCTCATGAAACTGCATTTCCACAACAAGAACAATATTTACATACCCAACTGTGGAATTTGAAGGTCCAACTCTAGATCGTAAATATCGGATGATACGCAGCACATCGAGGTCTCCAGTTCCAGCCATCACCATGGACAAACTCAGCAGAATTACATTAAGACAAGTCTCGATAGTTGATTTCCCAGCCAGTTCTGCAACACTCCTGCAACAAGTTAACTGCATATTGTTAACTATTTAGTTAACTTCACAGGGGATGCCTTGATGCTGGTGAAGAACTCTTATTTCAAGGAATTAGAACTACCCTCCCTTTCCTTGTAACATCCCTGACTACCTCCCATTCCGCAAGTGTGCTTTTGGGAGATTCTGAGAGAAGTTGCAAAGGTTGGTGGATGAATTTGGAAGGGTATAAAAGAGAAGGAAATAGAAAATAAAGATAGGAAAGAGCAAGATGATAAGATTAACACAAAATTTTGGTAATGAAAGATTGAATATCAGAGTAGAAAGAGGAAGAAGGAGGGAAGTAAATGTTCTCAGATATCTGGGAACGGACCACTCAGTGGACAAGCCTATGAAAGATGAGGTGGATCGTAGAACTGATGAAGGGAAAAAGGCAGGTGGTACATTGAGGCATCTGCAGAGAAAAGAAGTTATTAATAGAGGCAAAAAGAGTGTATCAGTGTATAGTGGTACCAACACTCCTATATGGGCATGAAGTATGGGTTTGAAACATTACAGTGAGGAGCAATATGTGGTTTGATTATTATGCAGAGAATTCATAGTTTGGAGTTATAGATGCGAGGTTACTAAATGTATTATCCAAAAGACTGAGGAGGGGTTGTAACAGCTTGGACATTTAGAGAACATGGAGCAAAATAGACTGACTTAGCGTATAAATCTGTAATGGAGGGAAGGAAGAGTAGGGTTCATCCTAAGAAAGGTTGGTGAGAGGGGGTAAAGGTTTTGTATGTGAGGTGCTTGGATATCAAACAGACGTATGTGAGCATATTAGGAGGGAAGACAAGGGATTTTTATGACCTGACTTGCTACTGGAGTGTGAGGAAGGTAACATTTATGAAGGGATTTAAGGAAACCGGTTAGCTTGACTTGAGTCCTGGAGGTGGGAGGTACAGTCCCTGCACTTTAAAGGAGAGGGATGAATTCTGCAGTTTGGAGGGTCATATGAGTTGTAATGTTTGTGCACCTCTGGTAAGATGGTGGTGGAATGAGTGATGGTTAAAGTGTTTCTTCTTTTTCAGGTCACCCTACCTTAGTGGGAGATGGCTGGTGTAATAAAATAATAATACTAATTCACTGTTTAATTAACTTGAAGACAATATTTATACAGTTAATGAATAACGATACATCTGTGACATGAAATCTTTGAATAGGTAATTCTCCTATTGTATAATTAAATAAAATTTCTCGGTCTTTAAGGTGATATTAAACTTCAGTCCATGATTATTTAAAAAGATTACCTTTCACTAGGACTTAAACAAATTTCAAGCTTTAAAAACAATACTGATATGTGGTATATGAAGAAAAACTTATAATGAACATTGTATAATTTTTGTCAAACTGGATTAACACAATGTCAAAGGAAAGTTCTAGATAAATACAGAGGTATGCAAGGCAAGAATCTGCCTTACAGAGGTCTAATGATGAATGTACAGGACTTTTAACTCTTTCAGGGTCCGTGCTGTAGATCTACGGCTTTACGTTGAGGGTCCAAACCGTAGATCAACACCATGAGCTCAGCTCACTCTGATAAGCGGTGAGTGGTAAATTTGGGCCTAGATATGAGAGAATACATCTATGTGGTATGTGTGCACCACATAAAACAAATCCTGCAGCTCACAGTGCATAAGGAGAGAAAAAAAAAACTGAGACCGTAATTTTCGATTAAAACAGCGACTTTGCAGTTTTTTCATATGCAGTGTTTTTTTCAAATACACCTACCATCCGACTTACGACCTGCTCGACTTATGACCACTCGACTTATGACCGTGTCTTTTATGACAAATTTCTGGGAAATAAAGAACTATTTGTGTTGTACACAGTGTTTATCCTAAACCTTACAGTATAAAATACAGTACTAACAGCATAAAAAGTAAAGTAAAACACGAAATACCAAAATAAAACAATAAAATAAAGTCATTACAAAAATGTTTTGTTGATATTCAGTAGTAAAGTTCGGCTTACGACCATTTTGACTTACAACCGGTTTCTCGGAACCGAACTCGGTCGTAAGTCGGATGGTAGGTGTACAACTATTTCCGATTTCTTGGTCTCATTTGATAGAATGGAAGATATATTACAAAAATAGAGATCATTGAGATTGGTTTTAGTACTGAAAATGGCTTGAAACTGAGCTCAAAGTAGCAGAAATGTTAAAGTTTTGCCAATGTTCAAGAGTAAACAAATGACCTCACACATCTAATACATGCCAGCTGGTGGGTCTAATATACGTTCACATATGTGGTGATATTATTTATATAATTATTACAATATTGCATGACAGTAAATCTTCTATTTATTGGTTTGAATAAAAATTCATTATGTGAATTAGAAATCAAAATGGAATTCATTTGTAAAGCCTGAAAAACATAACTAATGAACAGAGGGAATGTTAGTTTTGTGCCAGGAATGCCTGCATTGTTTATTCTGGACCCTATTTTGAAATTAGAATATTTTGAACTTTGCATTAAATTGGCCAAATTACCAATTTCCAATCACTATATTTTGTAGTTGAAACAGTTGACCTGGTGATTTCTTGTGCTCAATCGATAGAACATAAGTAATACTAGTGAAATAGCTACGAATTTAGTTGACTGGAATAATGTAATTGGCCTAAAATGCGGATGAGTGAATATTGCTGACACATCAAAATTCGCGAGAGCACAATTTCGTCAATTTTCCATCAAATTTCGTACTTTTTGTTTTATTACCTTCAGAAAAAGATTCTCTACCATTTCATAAGAAAAAATAACAAAATTATGTTTTGAAAATTCTTGGACCCTGGTGAACACTTTGAAATTTGGCCTCTGAACCCTGAAAGGGTTAAAGAAGAACTCAGAAGGAAGCTGGGCTGAAAAACCAAGGGTTAGAGTAAATATTTTTATTACCTAATGTAAGTATTACTGAGAACAGGCAAATGGAAGCTAAGATAATAGTACACAGAAGTAAATAGAGATATGCAGTACAACAGTACATTGTTAAAGAGGAGCAAGCAACTTAGAAATTCATAGTGACATAACCTGACTGACTTTAAGAGACTTCACATAAAAATATGATCAATATACTTTGTGTCATACCTCTTGGTGAAATTGGTGAACATCCTTGTATACTTCCACAAAATCTGGAAGGCCTCACTGTTACTTGACCCAGCAAACTTCAATCCAATGACCATACAGGCACCAGCTAATATGTTGTAGTAAGCCTAAGAGAAATATAAAATTATCTTAAAGAAAAATAAAATATACTATAACAAATTGTACACTAATCAAATCAAGAAAACAACTCTGATAGAAATGTTACTACCATCCTGCCAAGTGAGTGTAAAATGAAAGCCTGTACTAGTTTTACATGATGGTAGGATTGCTGGTGTCTTTTCTCTGTCTCATAAATATGCAAGATTTCAGGTACGTCTTGCTACTTCTACTTACACTTAGGTCACACTACACATACATATACAAGCATATATATATACACATCCCTCTGGGGTTTCTTCTATTTTCTTACTACTTCTTGTTCCTGTTTATTTCCTTTTGTCTCCATGGGAAAGTGGAACAGAATTATTCTTCTGTAAGCCATGTGTGGTGTAAGAGGAGACTAAAATGCCAGGAGCAAGGGGCTAGTAACCCCTTCTCCTGTATAAAATACTAAATTTTAAAGAGGAAAACTTTCATTTTTCTTCATGGGCCACCCTGCCTTGGTGGGATACGGCTGGTTTGTTGAGAGAAGAAGAAGAATGATTATAAATAACTCATAGAACAAGTGGGATTTGAAACCATGGATCACCATGGGCCTACTAATTTCAGGATTGGCCCATCATGGGTTTGAATCCCAACCATTTGGTGAGCCTTACATGGCAGTGAAATGTATGTGATGGAAGTATAGGCACATAAAATGCAGTTTTTTTATTCATATTATCATATACTGTGATGACAATACCATGACAGAAACAATTAACAAATAGCTAACATTCTGAAGAGGAAACTCGATAAGTTTTGATCTGTCCAGGACCATTATCAAGTCACAACCTTGCTCAGCTGTGCATTCATAATGGTCTAATATGGCCTGAAATGTCATCTAGAACTTTTTTTCCAAAGTGTGAGTTATTTGTGAAAGAAATGAACAATGTTGCACTCGCTTAGTGCTCTATGTTTGATGCAGCGAAGCATATAGGTGGAATTAGGAGAGTTTGACAGAATTTAAAGGTGCACATATCGTAGACTGTTTTCCTTGTAATTCAGCCTGAGGCTAGGTTTCCTGTCCTCAGGCTGATGAACTAGGCTATTGTTGCCAAAAGCTAACAGCAGACTTTTTCTCATTTTTTATGAAGGCATTTAATTTTTGTACGTATATGTTTAGTGTACGTGATGGATCAATATTTTTTTCAACAAATCAGTTAAGAAGCATGAAATTTTCTTGTACAGTTACCATGTTTTTTGGCTCAGGAAACTGCTATAAGTTGCAAGTAGTTAAATGGGCTAAGTTCCGCTCTGATGCTCTTTGTATTTTTAAGCGCTAGTCAAATTTAAGCTAAGCAGATGTTTATTATGCAGGGGAGTAATATACTTACATGCAGGGTTCTTAAGTGTTACCTTAGTATCTTAAGACAAACTAAAATTGAGAATAGGTAGCAGCTGAAATGTACATAAAATACGTATTTTTATACCCAGTCCTTCCCTGGATATGAAAAATGGTTCGCAAACAAACCTGATGCATAGATTCATAGTCTATCCCTGGTGTAGACTGATTACCTCCTCGGTGGACATGAGTGAGAACTGTCAGAGGCACATGACTCTCAATCCATTGAGACGTTGGCATCACAGAATCCCACATGATAAGTCCAAGAGCAACTGTACGAAGCAGCAGAAAATCAGGCCTCACCTGTAACAAAGATTGGTTTTATTTTCTAGTTTAATACACTGAAAGGATTTTGTGAGGTGGAAGTTAAGTTGACATGTATGTGTTGAGAATCATACAGCCTTACATCAAAGGTGATCATAAGTATCCTTACATCAGATGAATTCAATAACATCCTTACAACAGATATGTAAACATCCTTACATCAGATGTATAAAGAAACATCCTTTCAGCAGATGTATAAAGAAGCATCCTTACATCACATATATATAGACACATTCTTATAACATATGTATACAGGAACATACTTACACCATATGTATATAGGTACATCCTTACAAAAAATATGTTCAAAAATATCCAAACATCATATATGTTCAAAACCACTGTAACAAGTGATGTGTTCAAAAATGTCCTTACATCAATTTGTTTGGATACACCCTAACATTATTTTTATAGCAGTAGGCTTCAGAAATAAACATCATTATATAAGATGTATTCAGAAACACTCTTATATCAGATATGTTCAGAAATAAATATACTATAGCTACATCAGATGAATTCACAAATAAACATACTGTAGTTACATCAGACGAATTCAGAAATAAACACCTTTTTTTTTTTTTAACACAATGGCCATCTCCCACCAAGGCAGGGTGATCCAAAAAAGAAAGAAGCACTTTCACCATCATTCACACATAATCACTGTCTTCGCAGAGACACTCAGATATGACAGTTTAGATGACACTCCAAACAGCCAATATCCCAAACCCCTCCTTTAAAGTGGAGGCATTCTATTTCCTTATATCAGATGCATTTAGAAATAAACATCCTTATATCAGATGGGTTCAGAAATAAACATCATTATATCAGATGTAATTAAATAAACATCCTTTTATCAGCTGTGCTTAGAATTAAACATACAAGTCTTAAGTTTTGTACCTGGTCTAATAGATACGGAGTGCTTGGGGCAAGCATCCACTCAGCAATTGCCTTGTTATTACTCTGAAAATATATCATCCCCAACGCTAAGGTGGCTCCTGGAGCAGTTACATCGATGTTGACACAGTCACCCTCCTGTCAAGTGGAAGACAAGATACAAACATTCTCTTGATTCTCTACAGGTATTTCACTAAGTTTAATTTTGGCACTAGTCTCCCCAAAATGCTATGCACATAAATTAGACACTTAATGAACACCTGGATATCTAAATTTTTAAAACTTTTTGCCACCAAGTGGCTTTCATTAATATGAGATTCATCAAAACTAAGGTAATGAACAGCTTTAAGGCTGAGGGAATAATTACATCATCTTCCACTGTTTTCCATATAGTATCTTAGTATTGAAGTGAATAAGCCACTGGCTGATGAAACATCTTCAAAATAATAATACCCAGGTGTCGGGCATGTCTAATTCATCAGTATTGTATACCATTAATGTAGTAATGTTATGCATAACTCTGGCAAAAAAATTTTCATTGATGCACACACAACTATTAACCCAAAATATCTATGCATTGTTTAATCCTTACTGTCCAAATGTAGATCTACGTTCATGTGTGTAACGCTCCGAACATAGATCTACATTTTATTTTACATGCTTTCAAATGTAAAAAAAAAAATGTCGTTCTACGTTCGGAGCACTACACACGTGAACGTAGATCTACGCTTGGACAGTCTGAGGGTAAAATGATACTATTCTTCTTTCAACAAACCAGCAGTATCCCACCAAGGAAGTGTGACCTAAAAAGAAAAACGAAAGTTTCTCTTTTTAAATTTAGTAATTTATACAGAAAGGGTTACTAGCCCCTTGCTCACAACATTTTAGTCGCCTCTTACGACACGCATGGCTTACAGAGAAAGAATTCTGTTCCACTTACCCATGGAGATAAGAGGAAACAAACAACAACTAGTAAGGAAATACAAAACCCAAAGAGGTGTGTATACATATGCTTGTACATGCATGTGTAGTGTGACCTAAGTGTAAGTAGAGGTAGCAAGACGTATCTGAAATGTTGCACGTTTCTTCTTTCAACAAACTGGCTGTATCCCACCAAAGCAGGGGTTTATCTGGAGAGAGTTCGGGGGTCAACGCCCCCGACGGCCCGGTCTGTGACCAGGCCTCCTTAGGTCAGTGTCCCAGGATGCGACCCACACCAGTCGACTAACACCCAGGTACCCATTTTACTGATGGGGAACATAGACAACAGGTGGAAAGAAACACGTCCAATGTTTCTACTCTGGCTGGGAATCGAACCCAGGCCCTCACCGTGTGAAGCGAGAGCGTTAACCACCAGGCCACCAGAGCACCAAGCCAAAAAAAAAACAAGTTTCTCTTTTTAACTTTAGTAATATATACAGGAGAAGGGTTACTAGCCTCTTGCTCCCAACATTTTAGTTGCCTCTTACGACACACATGGCTTATGGAGGAAGAATTCTGTTGCGCTCACCCATGGAGATAAGAGGAAATAAACAAGGATAAGAACTAATAAGAAAAAGAAAAGAAAACCCAAAGGGGTGTGTATACATATGCTTGCACATGCATGTGTAGTGTGACCTAAGTGTAAGTAGAAGTAGCAAGACATACCTGAAACCTTGCATGTCTATGAGATGGAAAAAAGGCACCAGCAATCATACCATCGTATAAAACAATTACAGGTTTCCATTGCACACTCGCTTGGCACTTGGCAGGGCGGTAGTACATTCCTGGGTGGTTGCCATCTACCAACCTATTACCTAGGACTGTAATTACTATTACCAATAAAAAATACTGGTGATGTACAAAAATAAACCACCTTAGCTGCTTTTTATTACTTAGAGAACTTGCTCCTGCTGTCTGTTCCACTATGCACAAGTGTGGAATAAGCTTATAGATGCACAATGCATGAAAGACATTTGAAAGAAGAAAACCGTGTTAAGATATGACCACAGAAATGGGACTCTTAAAAAAAAAAAAAACATGATACAACACAATCACTGAGTCAAAGAAAGCCCTATATGAAAAAGAAGGGATAGTAAAATGGGAATCAGGTAAACAGATACAGCTGTATGTGGAGCAAATGATTATGTAAATACATGTGAACAATGAGTGGTGTGGAAGACAGTTCAAGAGAGCAAGTGGAATCAGCCATTATACAGCAGAACCCCATATCCAATGATTCGGTATCTGTGGTTTCAGTTATCCACAGTTTACTGTGGCCCAAAAATACCCCCTAATTTCATATAACAATGGCCACAAAAAGTAGAGAAGTCAGCAGCTCTTCAAAACCTAAGAGAAGCCGTGAAATGTTTCCCATCAGTGACTTATATACAGTGGTCCCTCGCTTTTCGTAGTTCTCGGCAATCGTAAATTTCGTCAATCATAGGGGTATTTTCGTATAAACATGGGCTCGTTTTTCATAGGTTGACTCACGAATAGTAGTTCGTCTGGGACGCGTATGCACGGTGTGAGCCAGGGCGGCGTCCCTACCCAGCCAGTCTGGCATTGTTTACCAGTGAGTGAAGGTCCCCTCAAGTGCTCCTACGAAATATTTCATAATATTCCACTCATTTTAGTGCTTGCAATTAACCATGGCTCCAAAGAAAGCTCCTAGTGCCAAGCCTGTGGTAAAGAAGGTGAGAAATATGTACAGTGACAAAGTCTTGGGCCCTTTTCGGTAAGTGTTAAAGAGACGCCAGAAACAGAGCTCTCTCCACAGTTACTTTGCGAGACAGGACTAGAGTGACTCTCAAGGTGGTCCTAGTGGCATTAAGAAACAGAGAAGAGAAGCAACCCCAGAGAAGCAATTGGTACCTGAGGTGTAGCTGGAAGGGGATTCCCCTTCCAAACTGTAAACAATCCAATCTCTCTCCTCCTCCAGTCTCCCATACACTAAGAAGAATCTCCAATAAAGGTAAGTGTTATGCTGTTAATGTTTCATTCATCATTTCCCAATGTACTGTTTATGTACTATATGTATATTTCATGTAAAAAATTTTTTTGTTTTAATACTTCTGGGTGTCAGGAACGGATTAATTGTATTTACATTATTTCTTATGGGGAAAATTGATTCGCAAATCATAAATTTCGTTTATGGTAACGGCTCCAGGAACGGATTAATTATGAAAAACGAGGGACCACTGTATAGGGTTTATTATTATCTGTGGTATTGGTATCCACAGCAGGTCCTTGGAACGTGTCCCCATGGATATGGGGGTCCTACTGTACTACATATATTGAAGATATTAGTGGGCTTGAGCACTGGAAGTGGAAAGTACAGTGTGTACACTCCAAAGGATGGTTGAGAATGTTACAGTTTGGAGTGTCACTTGAATTGTAATGTGTCACTGAACTTCTGGAAGGACAACCAATGTAGAATTGAATGATGATGAGTGTTTCCTTCTTTGGGTCACCCTGCATTACTGGGAAATAACAAATGTGTTTTAAAAAATAAAGATTATTTTTAGCCCCATTAACAAGAACAGGCATCAACTGCAAACTACAAAAATTCTTTTACAACAGAGGTAGATAGTTGTAGGTAGTAGATTGGTAGACAGCGACCGCCCAGGGAGGTACTACCGTCCTGCCAAGTGAGTGTGAAATGGAAACCTGTAACTGTTTTACATGATGGTAGGATTGCTGGTGACCTTTTTCTGTCTCATAAACATGCAAGTTTCAGGTACATCTTACTACTTCTACTTACACGTAGATCACACTAAATATGCATGTACAAGCATATGGGTTTTCTTCTATTTTCTTCCTAGTTCTTCTTGTTTATTTCTGCTTATCTCCATGGGGAAGTGAAACAGAATTCTTCCTCTATCAACCATGCATGCAGAGACCAAGGGGCTAGCAACCCCTTTTCCTGTATAAATTATTAAATTTAGAAAGAGAAACTTTTGTTTTTCTTTTTGGGCCACCCTGCCTTGGTGAGATACAGCTGGTTTGTTGAAAGAAGAAAGATGTATATAATTAAAACAGGTAAATCCTCACACACTGATGTTAGGAAGTATTTCTTCAGTCATAGAGTAGTTAGGAAGTGGAATAGTCTGGCAAGCGATGTAGTGGAGGCAGGAACTATACATAGTTTTAAGATGAGGTATGATAAAGCTCATGGAGCAGGGGGAGAGAGGACCTAGTAGCGGTTGGTAAAGAGGCGGGGCCAGGAGCTGAGTCTCGACCCCTGCAACCACAATTAGGTGAATTAGGTGAGTACAGTACCAGTACATATGCAGTACTGAATTAAAAACTCACTTTTATCTGATAACTTGGCGACTTATATTTATCTTTGTGGATGCCAAAAAGTGGTTTCTTGTGTCCGCCTTCAATATAGTGATACAGTTCTCCTGCAATATTAAGATCTGTAAAGCCAGCAGCTTCTCCACCTCTCCCAAATAATACTAAGCCAAGAGCAAGTCCAGCAGCCAAAGAATAAGACTCTCGATCATTTGAATTTTCCATTTCTGGGCCTGGTGGGCGACCAATTTCTTGCAGTAGGACTTCTGCCATGTGTCGATGAGCAGTGTCTTGGTAAACTAGTCCCACTCCAATGATAGCTGCAACCTGTGCATGTAAAAAAAAAATCTATGAGAATCTACTTAAGACAAAAATAAATGATAACTTGCACATAAAAGAACAAAAAAGACTAAGAAGAGAAGATTCATTAGTATACGTATATAGTAGAGTACTGTAACTTCAACTGGGTTAGCAAGTAGTCACAATTGTGAATATTAAAATGGTATAAAATACCATCAGGTTGTTAGGCAAGACACACATGCAACAGTTAGGTATCTTTATTTTGAAACGTTTCGCCTACACAAGAGGCTTCTTCAGTCGAGTACAGAAAAGTTGATAGAAGCAGAAGAGTCGTGAAGACGATGTAATCAGTCCATCACCCTTGAAGTTTTGAGGTTTTCCTGGAGTTTACCTGGAGAGAGTTTCGGGGGTCAACGCCCCCGCGGCCCGGTCTGTGACCAGGCCTCCTGGTGGATCAGCGCCTGATCAACCAGGCTGTTGCTGCTGGCTGCACGCAAACCAACGTACGAGCCACAGCCCGGCTGATCAGGAACTGACTTTAGGTGCTTGTCCAGTGCCAGCTTGAAGACTGCCAGGGGTCTGTTGGTAATCCCCCTTATGTGTGCTGGGAGGCAGTTGAACAGTCTCGGGCCCCTGACACTTATTGTATGGTCTCTTAACGTGCTAGTGACACCCCTGCTTTTCATTGGGGGGATGGTGCATCGTCTGCCAAGTCTTTTGCTTTCGTAGTGAGTGATTTTCGTGTGCAAGTTCGGTACTAGGTGGTACTAGGTGGTCGGTCCCTCAGTCTGGAGAAGAGTATTGTTCCACAGTCTGAAACAATATGGAGTTAAAGTGACAGGATCGAGCCTTATATACCGCCAGGAGGTGAGATGTAGGCCACGGCCCTCTTAAATCCAGCTATTCTCACTAGTAGATGTTATCCAAGCTGTTTTCTGTTCTGTACCAAGATACCATTGTGTTGCAGTGTCTGACAGAGTGAATATTAAAATGGTATATATAAAATACCGACAGGTTATTAGGTAAGACACATATACAACAGTTAGATATCTTTATTTCGAAACGTTTCACCTACACAGTAGGCTTCTTCAGTCGAGTACAGAAAAGTTGATAGAAGCAGAAGAGATGTGAAGACAATGTAATCAGTCCATCACCCTTAAAGTTTTGAGGTGGACAGTCCCTTAGTCTGGAGAAGAGTATTGTTCCATAGTCTGAAACAATATGATATTGTTTCAGACTATGGAACAATACTCTTCTCCAGACTAAGGGACTGACCACCTCAAAACTTCAAGGGTGATGGACTGATTACATCGTCTTCACGTCTCTTCTGCTTCTATCAACTTTTCTGTACTCGACTGAAGAAGCCTACTGTGTAGGCGAAACGTTTCGAAATGAAGATATCTAACTGTTGCATATGTGTCTTACCTAATAACCTGTCAGTATTTTATACTATTTTAATATTCATTCTGTCAGACACTGCAACACAATGGTATCTTGGTACAGAACAGAAAACAACTTGGACAACGTCTACTAGTGAGAATGGCTGGAATTGAGAGGGATGTCACCTCCCAACGACTACATTCTTACCTCTACTAGTGGCCTACATCTCACCACCTGATGGTATATAAGGCTCCATCCTGTCACTTCAACTCCATATTGTTTCAGACTATGGAACAATACTTTTCTCCAGACTGAGGGACTGACCACCTCAAAACTTCAAGGGTGATGGACTGATTACATCATCTTCACGACTCTTCTGCTTCTATCAACTTTTCTGTACTCAACTGAAGAAGCCTACTGTGTAGGCTAAACGTTTTGAAATAAAGATACCTAACTGTTGCATGTGTGTCTTACCTAACAGTCACAGTTGTAACTGAGGAAAAAAAAGTGAAGCCAAAAAGATACTTTTAAGTTTTTCTTGCTAAACAGATTAGTAGAACAAAGGAATGGATTAAAAGAGGAGGTAGCAAGTGCTACAATAACCATAAATTTTAGCAAAAACTATATGATGAAATGATTACCAAAGATGGGATACTATGATCATAGCTCTGCTCCTCGAGAAATAAATAATTACATGTAGCAATAAATAATGAAACCATACACATGTTCACCTGTGGCAATTTAGCACAAATTTTATACTGTACTACCAATTCATTAAGAAACTAATAATATATGACATACTTGAACAGTGTGAGGAACATCTAGCTCAGTTGATGTTGGTGGCAGAAGACACTCAAGGTGAACACTGAGTAGCTTTGTAGTCTGAATGTCCAATGTTCCTCGCTTAGCTACAGATATGCCAAGCAGTAGTCCAACACATGTCATTTCATGCCCTCGTGCTAAATAATCATGCATGTTGACAGTTGCAAGGTTTCGAAGATGACCATTGAGTCCAAGGGCCATGAGAAATCCAGCATGTTCAGTTGGATTATCCAACGATCCTTTTGGTTTATTGTACACAATCCATGTGGAATCAATTTCTCCACAGTTGGGAGCAATTTTCAGTCCTGCTGCAACACCATTGTGGAAATGTGGCCACATATCCATATTTGGAGGTACTTCAATGTTGGAAAGGTCAATAGTTGTTCCTCTTGGGGGAGCTTTGCCTGAGAGATTGAGCTTGGGTATTGGAAGCGTTTCTGTAATTATTGGGGAAGAAGTAAACAGAGTGAACATACCTCGTCCAATTGGTAGTGACATAGTCCTAATGCAGAGGGCATACAAATGTCTCTCTTGCTCTTCTAGAAAATCATGATCAGACACCTCCGGCCGTTGAACAGCACTAATTGTAACAGCACGGGATGAGCAGAGCATACGGCGTACTTCAGCTATGCGTTGATCTTCACGCCACCTTAGAGCCAGCATGTCTGTATCCAAGGTTTCCATGCCATCTTCTTCTTCCTTGGTAGATGACTGTGAGACTTTCTTTTCTTCTTGCATTCTTACCTTTATATTAAATGGATCTTTTGGCTTCTTTCCACTGTCATTTTCATTTTTTGCATCTTCTTCCCTGTGAGCAACAAGATCAGGTCTGTGGATGAGGTGATAAGCAGAGGCTGGCCAATTCTGAGGAGGCCAAGTACGACAAAGGTGCTGTGCGTTCATAAGGACCAGAGAAACTCCAGGAGAGAGGAGCTGGATATCCCTGACAGTTAATCCAAGTTGGTCTGTTAAAAGAACTATCTTCTCATGGATTTTGGGATTATTTTCACAATAATTTTGTAAGTTAAGTGATACATCAGCTGAAAAAAATGGTTTCACGTTACTTGAGCTAATCTGTTTCAAAAAGCGCTCCATGGGAATATTTTGTAAGCCACAATCTGCTGCTGCAACAGAGTACAGCAGCATCAGATTTTTGGTTGTTGTGCACACTTCAGGAATGTATGGGAAAGGCTCAGGTTCAATACCTCCCATTATTGCATACAAGTGGGCTAACACATGAGGAGGTTTCTCAGTAAAATAACTGGCATAAGTTAATTTTTTTGCCTCCTCTAGTGGTACCTGTGATGGTGGACCATGTAATGGACACACAGTGGGAAAATCTCTCCAATAATGGTGCAGATATTGAGTAAGGCGAAGATCTGAAGCTAGTTGATCCAGACAAGTAACAAGGAGACTGCAAAATTCCCAATTTAAAATGTTCAATTTAAATTCTTCATATACTAAATGAAGTGCAAAGAAAATTGCCGGGAGATGTGAGAACAAAGGTGATCTTGTATGCACTGTACCTTTATTGACTTCTTTTGGTTTCTGCATCACCCCCACTTTTTGTAATCCCAGCATTTCACTCAGACTGTTTCCAGCAGCCATATGAAAGGGTGAAGACAACATGTACTCCCAATCATTATCCGAGCCACTCTCAGCTGCACGAAACTTCTTTGTAGCTACGAGAGTGTTACATGAGTCAGAGGATTCTACTGGACATGTTAAAGCTAATTTGTCAGTGTCATAGCCTATCATTGATAAAGCATCATTGAAAACATAGTCCATTCTCCCTGAGGAGAAAAATCCCCAGATCCAGGAGCATTCCTAGTTGAATACCACTTGTTAACTAACTGAAGTGCAGGCTCTCGAGGCAGAACATATTTAAGTGCAGCTAGAGAATGTTTAACAACTGGAGATGATGCAATTTCTGGCAGAGTTATTCTGTAAAAATTGCCATTTGCATGTTCCAACGTAACTTTAGTATCTGAAGGATCTCTCAGGGATACAATAGATGAAGAAAGAGGCAGACTTGGGTCATCTGTGAAAGATCCATCCATGTGTGACTTCTCAGTAATAACTGGAGAAAGACCAACTTCAAACTTTGCATCTAGAGATGAACTGGGTCTACTAGAGGTGAAAAGACTTGATCGACGAAGCGGTGTTGTAGATGGACTGTGAAGTCGCGATGATATATTCAAAGATGAAAAATCTCTAAATAAAGAGGAGTTGAATGTAGGTAATCCACAAAGATTAATACGACTCACATGAACTGGCCCTGTATAAAGGGATACGCTACTACTTCCATCAACAACAATCATCATGTGGAGTGCTTTAACTGGTAAGGCATCTTTAGCAATTACAGAGGCTATAGAGCCAAATATAAGACTTGATTTATCATTGGTATAATCATATTTAATACAGCGAAGCATTCCTGCCTGTGAGAGCATTAAACATAGATATTTTTGACCCACACTATCTTCTGTAAGGAAAGCCTTTGTGGCCCGGGCAAGGGAATGATCTGTCCAGAGGTGATCTAAGCAAATATCTGGAACCAAAGGTTCTGGCTCAGTTAAGGTTTCATTAAGAGAAGTATACTGTGATGATCGAGGTGTGCGGGGCCCGGGAGATCGAGATGGTGAAGGACTCATTGCCAGCCGAAGATTCTGCCCTCCAAATACCGATGGTGACTGTGTTCGACTGCAAGACACAGAAGAAATAACTTTGCTTCAAAATTTAATAAAAGCTCGTTCTTTCAAACAAACATTGCACATACACAAATGTAAAAAAAAAAAAAGTGAACAAGAAGAAAGAAAAACAGATTTTTTTTTTTCAATAAGTTGGCTGTCTCCCACCGAGGCAGGGTGACCCAAAAAGAAAGAAAATCCCCAAAAAGAAAATACTTTCATCATCATTCAACACTTTCACCTCACTCACACATAATCACTGTTTTTGCAGAGGTGCTCAGAACACAACAGTTTAGAAGCATATACATATAAAGATACACAACATATCCCTCCAAACTGCTAATATCCCAAAACCCTCCTTTAGAGTGCAGGCATTGTACTTCCCATTTCCAGGACTCAAGTCCGGCAATATAAAAATAACCGGTTTCCCTGAATCCCTTCACTAAATGTTACCCTGCTCACACTCCAACAGATCGTCAGGTCCCAAATACCATTTATCTCCATTCACTCCTATCGAACACGCTCATGCACGCCTGCTGGAAGTCCAAGCCCCTTGCCCACAAAACCTCCCTTACCCCTTCCTTCCAACCTTTTCGAGGACGACCCCCTACCCCGCCTTCCTTCTCCTACAGATTTAAATGCTCTCCATGTCATTCTACTTTGATCCATTCTCTCTAAATGACCAAACCACCTCAACAACCCCTCTTCAGCCCTCTGACTAATACTTTTATTAACTCCACACTTTCTCCTAATTTCCACACTCTGAATTTTCTGCATATTTACACCACACATTGCCCTTAGACAGGACATCTCCACTGCCTCCAACCGCTTCCTCACTGCTGCATTCACAACCCAAGCTTCACACCCATATAAGAGTGTTGGTACTACTATACTTTCATACAATCCCTTCTTTGCCTCCATAGATAATGTTTTTTGACTCCATATACCTCAACGCACCACTCACCTTTTTTCCTTCATCAATTCTATGATTAACCTCATCCTTCATAAATCCATCCGCCAACACGTCAACTCCCAAGTATCTGAAAACATTCACTTCTTCCATACTCCTCCTCCCCAATTTGATATCCATTTTTTCTTTATCTAAATCATTTGATACCCTCACCACCTTACTCTTTTCTATGTTCACTTTCAACTTTCTACCTTTACACACACTCCCAAACTCATCCACTAACCTTAGAAAAACAGATAAACAGAAAAATCCTAAAGGTGTGTTTCTTACAAAAGAAATAACTGCCAACATGGTACTAAAACCTGATCAACAGCATGGAATCCTCAAACCCATGGCAAGCTATGGGTTCGATACCAATACCAACAAAATTTGACAATACCCACTAATATCAATACAGATACCATCAAAATTAACCCATACCCACTGATACCACCAAAATTCACCAATACTCACTGATACCAATAACAATACAGTAGGGCCCCACTTTACGGCGTTTCGCTTTACGGCGTTCCGCTAATACGGTCATTTCAAATTATGACCAAAACTCAATATACGGCTCCCCCCACCTGACTTTCTAATACGGTCACCGTGCCCCACCTGGTTTGTTTACATTCTCTGTGAGATCTGTAAGCACTAAATCTCTCCATTTTGTCCGGAAACTCCAAAATTTTAAGTGTTTTTAAAAGTTATTTCATATTTTATATATACTCTGATAATTATACATATGTATACTTGTACCTAAATAAACTTACATACTGTGCTGGCATGCAGGTACACATTAAAATCAGTAAGAGTCTCTTAGGTCTCCAGACGTCATATTAGTAATGATAATAATCATCGAGTCTCATTTAAATGTCGTATATTACGTTAATACAGTATACACATTTTCATTAATCCATCTATGATATTTTTTCAAAATTATATAATAAACATGATGCATAACATATAAATATGATAAATACACCCCACAGTAGAATAAATAAACATAAATGTGAGATGTGGTAGCAGACGACTTGCACAAGTGACGCCATATTACAAATAATAATAATAATCACCGAGTCTCATTATATGTCGTATATTACGCTAATATATACATTTTCATTAATCCATCCATGATATTTTTTTCAAAATTATATAATAAACACGATACATAACATAAAAAGATGATAAATACATCCCACAATAGAATAAATAAACATAAATATGAGATGTGGTAGCCAGATAACTTGTACAAGTGATGCCAAGAATAACATTTTCTCTAATCTAACATAAGAGAAAATGTGTTACTGGGGGTAACTGTAGAAAATTATTCCTTTTGTATGTATGTAAGTTTATTCAGGTATACACAAATACAGTTACATAGATTATCATACATAACAACATATGTGTAGAGAACCCAGGATAGCCCAAAAAAGTCAGAGTGACTTATTTCCATTGCCTTCACTCAGAGCATCATTTCTTCTCAAAATGATGTTACATTAGAATGGGAGTGTTCTTCTTTATTTATTCTACCGTATCAATGTAGAGACAACTTGTACACAAACCAGACGTGTACACATTTTTTGTTTACAAAACTTACGTTCGCCTGGTTTGTTTACATAACTCTGCACCTGTCCTCTCTCGTATACTCATTCTTTCTCTCTCTCATTTATTCGTTTTATCTCATTTACTTACTCCTGACCCTACATTAAGACTACAAATATTTTAAGGTGAGTAATGAGTGAACTGTATATACATTTTATCGCTCTGGGATGCTTAAATATCATAGAATAGTATGTGTGGGTGGGTTGGCTTGGTATGGTAGCCCGGCTGACTACCATACATACCACACTTGATTTTTTACAATAAATACTACTCATCTCACCCTAGATTAAGACTACAAATATTTTAAGGTAAGTAATGAGTAAACTGTATATGCATTTTATCGCTCTACGATGCTTAAATATAATAGAATATTATGTGGCCTGGTATGATAGCCCGGCTGACTACCATACATACCACACTTGATTTCTTACAATAAATACTACTTGTCTCACCCTAGATTAAGACTATAAATATTTTAAGGTAAGTAATGAGTGCACTATGTGTGTATTGTACTTTTTATTGTTTTTTGATGCCTGGTTCTATTGCTAACTTAATATATGTTAGTGTAAACTTGTTATCTAGTGTTTGTATGCATTTATAAGTGGAAAAAAAGGGTGTTCCACTTTACGGCGGTAGCCTGGAACCTAACCTGCCGTATAAGTGGGGCCCTACTGTACCATCAAAATTAGCCAATACCCACTGATAACAATACCATCAAAAATAGCCAATACCATTATGTACTGATATTTTGGCATGACCCTACTAGATAATCCTTTACTAGGTCTTCAGAAAACAAGTGATATACCACTGCCTAAAATATTCATAATTTGTTGTCTTTTAAATTCTAATAAAACCCTTAAATTCTTGCTGAAAATGAAGAGGTATCAATAATAAAGGAAGCAATTGTAACTAGCAACAAATGGAGATGACTTTCTGGTTTTGCTACAAGCAAAAAGTTGCTATAAAATTAAAGATCTAAAACTGAGTCAAACCATGAAAGCAAGATAAAAAAAAATGACATGAAAAACTAAAATGTTTAAACCAAAAATTAAGAAGAAAAACAATGATCATACAAAAGAAAATAACAAACTCAAAAGTATGGCAGAGGAAATAATGGATGGCATACAAAATAAAGGGAGCAAATCAATCAAAAAAAAAAATGATAGGCTCAAAAAATGGAAACACTTGTATAAATTAAAGGTAGAGGACATCTAAGCAAAAATAATCAGGTAATATGAAGAACTCCATGGGAAAGTGGAGTAGAATCCTTACTCCATAAGCAAGTGTGTCATAAGAGATGACTGAAATGCAGGGAGCAAGGGACAGTAACCCCTTCTCCCATGTGTCAATTACTAAATGTACAAAGGAGAAAAACTTTAATTTCTTCTTTTTCGGGTCACCCTGACTTGGTGGGAGATAGCCAGTGTTTAAAAAAAAAAGTGAACTGAGAAAATAAATAAGTACAGGGCTGTGATAAATAAAAGGACCATCATAAATAACCTATATTACTGTGTTGAAAGTATGAAAGTCTATTATCTGTGTAAGGTTTGATAAACCCTGTAGAAATAACTTCTCAGTTTATACTTCAGAAATACCAGTCTTATGAACTTTACCTACCACTTTCAGCTCAGTGACTTCTGTTTTACCTGTCATTTTCTCTTATTCCCTGTTTTATTTTATTATTGATAGGTTCATTTGGGTGTCCAGCACTGGTTTTAACATCCTGAGAAATAACAACTGACATGTGGGGGTGGCAGTTTCTGTGGTTCATTGAATTCTACACAGACAATTATTTTTCACATTTAAAACTGCAGCCAGCATAGAGTTCAGTTTTGATGTTGCCAAGTGATTGTAAAACGGAAACCTGTAATTGTTTTACATGATGGTAAGATTGCTGGTGTCTTTTTTCTGTCTCATAAACATGCAAGTCTTGCTACTTTTACTTACACTTAGATCACACTACACATGCATGTACAAGCATATAAATAATACATGCCCCTCTGGGTTTTCTTCTATTTTCTTACTAGTTCTTGTTCTTGCTTATTTTCTCTTATCTCCATGGGGAAGTGGAACAGAATTCTTCCTCCATAAGCCATGTGTGTTGTAAAAGGCAACTAACATGCCAGAAGCATGGGGCAAGTAACTCTTTCTCCTGTATGTGTTAGATAGGAGTGAATGGAGACGAATGGTTTTTGAGACCTGATGAGCTGTTGGAGTGTGAGCAGGGTAATATTTTGTGAAGGGATTCAGGGAAACCGGTTAGCCAGACTTGAGTCCTGGAAATGGAAAGTACAATGCCTGCACATTAAAGAAGAGGTTTGGAGTATTGGCAGTTTGGAGGGACTTCTGAACTGTCGTATCTGAGCGCCTCTGCTAAGACAGTGATTATGTATGAGTGAGGTGAAAGTGTTGAATGATGATGAAAGTACTTTCTTTTTTGGGATTTTCTTTCTTTTTGG